GCGTAAATGGGTAACCTTTAACCAAATCAATTGCGGAGCGTCGTACTCGAGCGCTGCAACGTTAGACTTTTATTTCCGACGGCTCACCTTCTAAATAGATTTCTTGCGGCCTTTGTCGAGACCAAGGACAATTTGGCGATGCAAAAGTGTTGTGATTCAAGAGGGAGGAAGGAAAAAAGTCATGAATAAAACTACGAATGAAGAAAAACCGTGTCAGTGAACCCCTGGGTGTGTTGAGCCTTGAAAAAAAATCCTCATCCAAATCCTTTTTTTTTTTTTTTACATCAGAAGATCATGGGCACACTGTATTTTTTCCTTCTTCAAATATGAGCTGGAATTTAAAAATATAGATCAGGGAATTTTTTAGGCTTCATACAACATATAATGTGCATATTTTTTTTAATGACTGGCAACTGCTCCATGAGAAGCCAACATTCATGTAATGAAGCTTCACTTGGGGGTGGGCTGGCACTCTTAACCAATTTATTTAAAAAAAAAAAAAACTCTCTCACTTTCTTTATGAAGCGAAAATAAACTGCAAAAAAAAAAAATCAACTGGGATTCACGCTAAACAAATTTAAAAAAAGGGGGGGGGGACAATTATCATTCTTTAAACGACTACCCAATTTTTGAAAGAAAAGAAAATGAAAAGGCAACGACACACCGCGGGGCTTCCAAGTTGACAGCGCTCTCGTAATATTCAACAAGAACTTCGAGACTGCACAGAAGTGGAAACATGTCGGTGGCTCATAGACACAAAAACCTGCTCAAAATGGACTCTCCATCTGGTGTGATTCCCACACTTCTAATGGAGAAAAAAACACTCCGATTTGCTTGTGTGAGTCAACAGAGGAAAATAAAGCACATACTCCGCGAACATGAGCGAGAGGAAAAAAAAAACAAGTCAGGCAAGCAATGTGAACTGTGTTGAGGTTTGTATTCTCTCTCTCTCTCTCTCTCTCTCTCTCTCTCTCTCTGATGCATTATTGAAGAAAAAAAAAAGGAAAAAAAAACGTGCCAAAAAGTATTGTGAAAGCAACCACCAGTTGGAATTTCCTGTAAAACTAAACACAACATACATCGTATATTTTCTTTTGAATACAAAAAAAATAGTTCAATTTAGGTTTATTGCTGGCTAAATGCTAGCATTCAATGGAAAACACGATTGACCGGCAAGCAAAAATTTGCATTAGACACCACGGGAGGGATTTACCTTCAAATAACAAGTACTCACAGAAAGACTCCCAGCCCGACATGTATGTCTCCATTTCACCCCCTCATCATTTCCAGCATGACCTAGGAAAACCTACAAATTTCACCGTAAAACAAGGGAGCTCCCAAGCTGACAAATGGAGGCAATGTTGTCTGTTCAATCAAGCCGACAACCTAATTCCTTTTGCCGTATGGAGGCGGGCTGGCCAAGAGCATTGAGGGTGTCTTGTGAGGGCTTAGCCGGGATATGAGGTTCCTGCTTCGGATCATCTCCGAGCATCTGATGGCTTGGGAAAATTATCTTACTCTGCTCCCGAGCTGAGGATTGTGGGTATTTCTGCCCTTGTTTAACACTGGCTGGTTCAGAATCATCGCCTCATTCCATACTCTCTAATAACTATACAGTGCGCCAACTAATATCATTTTTGAGTTACCAACCACAATTTGGTCGATTTTTTTTTACTCTGTCGGTTGTCAAAATTCCGAGCGAGATTCAGCGATGCCCCTTCTTTAGTTGAATAAAAAATGAACTTTTGCGAGGAGCATGACCACTGAACTAGCCATCGACTGCTAGGCCACGCCCCCCTCAAAGATACTTTTCTGGTTGTGCCCATTCCCCTGCCCAAGAAAAAAAAAAATTCTAATGACTTGCTCATGAGCAGGAGAATATGGCACTACTCTGAGCAAGAGAATATGTCTCTCTCTCTCTCTCTAGATAGATAGATAGATAGATAGATCAATTCACTCTCAGTCAGCTGGGATAGGCCCCAGCCCACCCTCAACCCTAATGAGGCTAGGCACCAGAGATAACGCAAAACTGTGTTCGACCTTGACGCAACATAGCGAGTTGACATGGTTGGATATGTGTGACAAATGTTTTTATGTTTCAAATGAAACTTACTGCAAGAAACTTTCAAACACATGAAACAAGAATGACTCTTTTGAAAGGTTGAATGAACTCTCTCCCGAGAGGTTTGCGCATGCACACAAAAACACCCTTTGAGACCCAGCAATTTGAACTCTTTTGAAACTTTTCACAAACATGAAACAACATGGCAGACGTTTATTGTGCCGTTTGCTGCCGCTCTGCAGCGACAAGAAAGAAAGGGGCCTTGTCACCCAAATTCAAAGTCGAGCACAGACGACACAACAACTGACATTTGACACCGACTAAAAGACCTCTTTGTGCGTGACATGCTGCTTCATCTCTTCGTGACTGTACGTGTGACAATTACAAATACATCTGCAGCGTAGACACTGGGCGGCCTGTGATTACAAATCCAGCTAGTTCTCAGCCGGGGGTGCCAGTGGCGCCACAATGGCTTTTTAATGAACATTGTGCTTTATGTTACAGCCAGTCCAACTATTTTTGCATCGTTATGCTGATTAAGGTGCTGCAAAGCAATCTAGCTCCAACCAGCTTAGCGTGGCCCCGTGACAGGACGTTTAGAGGAGTCGCAAAATGTGACAAGGCTCAATTACATCCTCCCAGCATGCACTGCATAAATTGCACTAAATCCCCTTTCGTCTTTCATGATGTTACAACCAGGGGGGGAAAAAGAAAAAAAAACGAATGATGGCTGTGTATGGAAGGGGAGGGCTCATGAGGAAAGGTAATATCCTCAGTTTGTATCACCTGTTTATTTGGGGAAAAAGCTGAAAGAAACTGTTTGGACACGGGCAGGCAAGAAAAAAGGCATGAAATGTGATTGGGAAATGGTAAGTTAATTGAAGACTTTAAAACATGGTAAGTTAATTAAAGACTCAAGTCTAAAATGTCCATAGGTATGAATGTGAGTGTGAATGGCTGTTTGTCTACATGCGTCCTGTGATTGGCTGTGGACCAGCTCAATGTGTTTCCCGCAAGCTGAGACGCAATAAGCAGTCAAGAGAACATAGCGAGAAACCACTGTGTCCAAGAAAAAACAACCAATCCGAGAAAGATGACGTCAATGACAAGGTATCATTATTTGCAGTGCACTCGCAGGCACGCACTTGCAGTCTTGTGCTGACCTGTTACCTTGGGCTTCAGGAGCTGTGCTTAAAATATGGGGGGATATCCTCACAAAACAAATAAACCTTTTGAATTGAATTTACATTCCTCAAAATAAAACTTGAGGCCAGTAAATTTTGTGTTAAGGTAACATTCTATCACAAATATGTCATGCTACCAACATAGCAGCTGTTGGGATGTTAAAAGTACTAATGCTAGCTTAGTATTGCTAGCGCTCCTATTCTGTTGAAGCTGGACAGCATTCTCGATGATATCTCTTTTTCACAGCTATGCACGCCATTATGAATGGACACATTTGAGAATCGTGCTCATATTCGTGGGGCATGAAGTTAATTCGTTTCTTGTTCCGGTTCTGTTTAGCAAATATGATTTTATCATCCGAGTCCAGACACTTAACAAATTGCCCGCTATTTTGTTGTTTAACGCGGTTCCAGCCTCATGTCTGTGAAAAGTGGATTCAACCCCAAGCATTTAATTTCTGCGAGCAGTGTCGGTTTTAGGTTAGCTTGGTAACAAACATGCCTTCTTCGTCTTTTCTCATCATCCCTTCGTGTGAAAGATACTTGTCAGAAATGTATCTTATTGTTATATGATTACTGTCTTAGTAATGACTCTGCTACGAGTTTAGTCACAGCAGTAACCAGCCAGAGCTAATTGCTAGCTAGCTTGCGCAGCATGATAAACACTGAGCTTGTCTTGACCTCCAACTACCCACAGTAGGTGATGTCAAGCTCAGCAAAGCTTTGTGGGACTGTTCCAGCAGTTGATTCTCAGTTTTGCTGTGTTTTGATGAGGCGCAAAATGCAAATTTTGCATTGCAAACTGCAATGTGAAACTACTGATTTCCAGTCTTGGGGGTGGCAGAGGGGATTTCCAGATAAATCGTATATTGTAAAACATTCTATGTATTGTATGGAATGTAAAACATTTTCAAAAAAACAGAAAAACAAATCTTGTTTTCAATTGAAATAGACACATGATTTCAAATGGAAAACGAATTGCTATTTTTTTTCTCTGACAATTACATCTATTTTTTTATTAATATTTCACATTAAAAAGAAAGGAGCTTTTATTTGACAGTCATGTTATTGTGTTGAATTTTCCAAATATCAGTGAGTAACATATTCATGGTTGGGACATAAAAAGGTGACCGGAGAAGGAGTTGTGCAGATATTGATATATTAATCCTTTGAACCTACATCAGTTGAGTCTCCCGCTACTACTGATAAAGTGACCTATCTTTTAAGCATTTTTTAAACTTTATTTTATTATTTTTTTGCAAATGTCACATTGTGGCATATCCAAATACCACCTCCCTGTGCGCCCTTGCCGTGCACGTAGCCTTGCCGGTGCGTTTAAAACACGGCTTTTATTGAGAAACACTTGAAACCGAATGAAATGTACAAGGCTGTGTGTGGGGCAGGTTGGCCACCGATTTAGCTTTCATTTACTGAAATGATTTTTTATGTTTTTTTTCTGGCCTTACAAAGACAAATTGTGAGCTTTATACGAGAGGTAAAGGGTTTTTTCATATGATGGACGGCTGGGGGTAGCGAGATACAGCTGCAGATGCTGATAAGATAGCAGAGTGCAGGGCTCAAACACACGACCGGGGTGTGCTGACGGCACCCTGCATCCTGTCCTCAATGTCACCCATCAGCGCCTATCTCGATGAGAACTACCTGTTCACAAATAATCATAAACACTCACACATGCGGTATAGAGAGGGCCACAGCAATGGTAGTGGTGGTGGTGATGGGGAGGTGTACAGTACCTTGCGTGTTGACTGGGTTGGAGGTGGGTGTGGGGATAGTAGTGGGAGCATCTAGACAAAAAGAGTAAAGAAAAACAAAAAATAAAGAACACATAAGAAATAAGAAAGACAAGAAGTAAAGAAGACAAAGGCCATTGACAACAAGAGGCTATTCAAACTGATGTGTTTTTTTTTTTGGGGGGGGTGTTGATGGGGAGCTGTAGGTGTGGGTTTAACACAGAGGGACTGAAGCCAGTGCAAAAGCGAGGCAGCGGCTCGATAAACATAATACTAGCATGCTATGTTTATTCAGGACTTAATATTCAAGGAAATGACTGAAATGATTTCAAACTACAATTTTACTTTAAGTACCCTAAAATAATGGCAACCAGTGAGATTTACTAAAGTTAAAAGCGGTGACAAACTGTCATTCGGCAATGACGGAAACGCGGTTAAAATAATGATGACGGATTGACTATTACAGTTTGGTTCGGCTTGAAATCATGACGTATTGACAATGACTGACTGATTGGTGTCCCAGCCATTGCCGAATAATGGACGGGCAAAATTTATTGATGTGCCCACCTTGAAAAAATGAAACAGAATCTGGTAGTGGAAGTTACGAGTAAGGTAGAGTTGCTGTACTAGTGCACCCTAGATGTTACTCACAATATTCCTAGTCGTACATTCTTTATCTTCTGTAATGAACAAATGATATTACTACATGTTACTAAGACCTTGTCTACACGTAGCCGGGCTACTCCCCAGCCCATCCCCTTCCTGACATCAAATAAATGCGCAAACGGCTTGCCATATGGCCCATTTCAATGCACACAAAAGACACATTTCTGTAATGCGCGTCATACTGTTACATGACAACATGTCATATTATCCTGTCTTTCAAATTAACAATGCAAAATAACAACGCACCACCATGGTTCTATATTGCCATTTACCTCCATCTCTCCGGGTAATTAAGTCAAAGCGCGGATGAAACCACAGAGGTGGTCCCCATCGAGGACTGCGTGGTGTCGATTCGGGCCTGTCGCTAATTGGCAAACATCATCACGGGAAAAAGGCGTCAGAGGCCAATTGAGGTAAGCGGTGGCACTGAGGGGAGTCGTGAGGTACCTCATCAGGAGGATATATGGTGGGGCTATGGGAGGGAAAGATAGCACAACCCCTTGCTGCGAGAAAGCACAGCGGGGGGAAATTGCCTGGCCCTCTCCCAGTGCTGTTACTGTCTGCATTCCATCAAAAGACAGCAGCAGGGAAGCGCACACTTCCAAACTAATGATAAAACATCAAGGATGGTGTAAGGCTGCCGCCGGCTATGGAGTGCATGGTGGCAGTAGCGGGGAAGGTATCATGGGACGGTAGCGAGATTCCCCTCTGACAGCATTTGAAGAGGAGGGTGGGCTCCACTGCGCACCCGTTGACCGAAGGTGGTCTGATAGCAGAAATGTCAGCGTGTGGAAAAAGGGGAAATTGGCCATTCAGGGGTTGGAGGGTCTTCACAAAGGCCGTGATAGGATGTGGCACATATAATATCAAGGCAAACAGGAGTTCTCCATGGGCAATTTTCCAGGCTGGATGACTTCGAGTCTGTGTATTATCAAGGCACAGGTATGAGTGTATTTGTGGATGATGAGCCCACATTTCCAAGAGCGAAGGAAAGGATTTGACCACCAAGTCCAACAAAACTGTGAAATTTGTTTACATGCAACACTGCTCCTACTTGTATTTGTTTTTCTTTTGGTTAAGACTTTATAACATTGACATATTGTGGTTGACTGGGCTTTTCAAATACAGCACACTGCATTCAATGTTTGTTTCAAAAACTTACTGAGTGAAGAGGTACATGGGATGAACACAATCATATACGCCAACATCCCACATGGGCCAATAACAATAAAAATTAATCTGATGCGATCTGAATATGGGATTTTGCATGTTAAATTACATAATGCTAATAATAAAAATCTGATCGGATTAAACCTGGTTCCACAAGATAGTCTCAGTGACACACAAAGCAAATTTGGTTCAAATTGGTCAATATTTCAAAGAGATAAACAAAATAGAAAATAATGATTAAATTATCTCTCTCTCTCTCTCTCTCTCTCTCTCTCTCTCTCTCTCTCTCTCTCTCTCTCTCTCTCTCTCTCTCTATATATATATATATATATAAAATGACCAGGGATCACTTATCAGACCCCTCACATTAACATGAAAATGTCATTTTAGAAATATTTCATAACTTATAAAACACCTCCAAATCTATATTAAGTAGCCTTTGGCTTAGATACTGTATCACAGATTTCATACACCCATTTATCCATCCATACATTGGCTGTGTTGACAGTTTTTCCACTTCGTGAAAATAGTAACACCCTTGAATGCTGTGGGCACATTCAAGGTAAATATACAGCCAATCTTTAACTTTTGCTCCATGGAGGATTTACAGGTCAAAGAAGTCAGCATCGGGATCGACAGCAGACGAAGGCAGCATAGATGTGAAGTATAGGGGCAGACTGAGGGAGGAAGGATGCCTCTCTCTTTGTCTTGTGCTTCTACTCCTGTATGAGAAGTATCTGCACGCAATACAATAGGATTTGATTTGATGGGGATTTACATCGACAACACATACACACACGCATGCACGCTCACTTGCACGCACGCACACACACACACACACACACACACACACACACACACACACACACACACACACACTTGACTGGGCAGACGCAGAATGAAAGGTCATCACTTCTTATAAAATAATGTTGAGAAGTTCAGGGGTCGTTCCGTGACAAATCACCCAGTGGGTTGAACCAAGCAGATTTGGATTTTAATGAAATGTAGTGTACTTGTTGACAGTGTTGGCACAACACTAAATCTCAATATTTTGATCAATCGGAGCAGGGGTTTGAGAGCTACCGTGCAACAAATTTTGCCATTTGTTGCAAAAAGGGGCATGACCTCCTTCCATTGATCCCTAATGTCTCAGTACCTACTGTCAAACTTCACAAAACAGATTTTGTTGGAAAGGGAACTCGAAAAGGATTCAAAATCTTCAATCATTTTCAAGATTGGTCAATATTTTAGTAACTTGACATGACCAAAATTTGACTTTGAAATTGACTTTGAAAATATTTTCTAAAACACATAAAAGTTTCAGAGATGTTTTTTGTTTGTTTGTTTAGAAGCAAGTATCCATACCTTTAGATATTCAGTGACATTCAATGATAGATCATTTCGGGTAATTGGATCTCAACAGTGACTCCACAGTTTCCTGCTGGTACTGCATTGTTTTTTTTCCAGGGGCGGGGGCGGGGTTGGGGGTGCAGTTTATGGGCAGAAGGCTTAGTACATGCGAATATATTCTGCAGAGAAGAAATAGACCCTACATGAAATCACCCCCTTTTTTTCCCTATCGAGATGATATCGAAGATTCTGATGCTACTTTTGCTATTGTTTATATGTGAGATAACTCCGATTAGAACAGAGCAAAAATTACAGCCATAATATGTGTCCAAATAGAAGGCTGGCAGAACAAAGCGAATGAGGATATTGGCAAAGTGGCTGAAGAGAGTCTGACCGACCTCAGCGGTAACCCCAAAGTGGAGCATAGAAAAAAAAAATTGGATCAGTCGCTGAAAGAAGACACTTACAAACCAAAGACAATAAAAAGACAAAGTCTTAAAAACATCAATTTGACCAGACATGATAAATGAAATTAATGGCCGACATTTCAAGTGGCGTTTGCAAAACGCGAGACTACTCAGGACAAGGTTATCACACGAGGGCCAATCTGCAGTGTACAAACACACTAATTAAGCCGCTGTAGCGGGCGTGATTAGTCTGGGACAACAAAGCCTCGCACAGATCGCAACCTGATTTGGGATGGCATTAAATCCTGCACAAAAAGAGGCATGGGATTCACAGACATAATTATAAGCAATTATGAGCACTTTTTACCAATCTCCGGTTTCGGACGTCCGTGCTCACACAAGAGAGAAGCTCTTTAATGGAAATTCTTAAAATATGTGTAGAGTCAGTTGCTAATTGAAGAGACAACAGGGCAATGAGGATACAGACTCAGATACTGGCTGCAAAAACAACAACAACAACAAAAAAAAGATTTCTGGACAGAGAACATAGCCTTTTAGTCGCTGCAGCTATGCTTTTTCATTCAGCCACATAAACGGCATTCAAGACAATGCCCAGTGAATTTAGTGATTTGTTTCCAAGAACAATTTACTCAAAATATTTAAACATAATTGCTGCAAACATGTAGGACTGAATTACGGAGGTATAGCAGTGAACTGTATTTGACGATACCAACACTCTTCTCCGTGTTGAATTTACAGAACATGAAACATGAAGTCAAAATATGACAATAAAGCTGCATAAAATGATGCCTGCCAAAATCATGATACCTTAACAATTACATACTGTACATTACTTTGAACACGAAAAATGATGACAAAATGTAATGATTTGAGGATTGGCTTGGGGAGTAACGGAATACATATATCGGCAATACAAAAAAAAAAAAAATCACTGGAATCCATTACAGCCCAGAAAAAGAGACATAATCAGATTACAGGTAAATTTATAAAAAATTGAGATTATTTTGCAGGATTACAATTTCCACACAGATACACCATCGGACCGGTTATTTATTTGAGTCCTGAGCGCAACCCGTGGATAAATTGTCACAATTCGTCTGGCTTATATGCCGCGTGACTTGACTGGCGCAGTCGTTCCGAACAAACGGGAGGAAGGTGAACATTATGTGATGTGCCCTCCGAACATGCTCTGTTTGAAAGTAGGCAGCATGCAAAAAGGCAAGAAGTGGTGACCTGTAAACACTGTTTGGAATTTACTCACCGAAAGATTGATTTTTCTGTATATTACATTTGAATGAACCGTTTGGAATACACCAGTATGACCTCGCCATAGGCATCTTTTCACTAACCGTAATGTTCAATGCGGGCACCCAAAAGACAGCTTTGCAAACTTCTCTCAAGGATTAACTTCTCAAACAGCACGGACTATCTCTGAGAGTAATTACTGGAATACTGAATGCTTTTCACCTGAGAGATTTGGATTAGGAGGTACTATTGAATGTGTGAATGTGTGTGTGTGTGTGTGTGTGTGTGTGTGTGTGTGTGTGTGTGTCTCGAAAGCATTATGTGAGATGTGCCTCGCACCCACCAAGGCTGTTCTGTTCTCTCCCAACACATTCACCCTGAAAAATAAATTTTAAAAAAGAAAACTGACAACAGCACTCCCGCTGAACCATTCATACCTCCAGAAGGTCAATTCATTAAACCCGTCAATTTGAAATACTTGAAAGGGCTCCCTCCCTTTTTTGGGGGTGTCCAGAACAGATTAACAGGATTTACATTATTTCCTATGGGAACTATTGCTTCAGTTTTCAGAGGATCCAGTTTTAGTCAGACTTTATATATATATATGTATATATATATACACAGAACCAAGGTTCCACAGAATTTGACTTGAACTGTTTTCCTTAAATTGAATAATCCATAAAAACTGATTCCCACTTTTTGTGACCCTCTGATTGTTGATGGTATAGTCTCGTGGTTAGGGGCCAACTCCTGCTGTGACCATGAACAGGAAGAGCGCTATAGAAAATGGGAGACAAATGAAGTGAGTAAAAGTAAAAATATTTTAATACTACCAAGTATGAATGCCTTCTCAAGGGCATTTCATGATTGCCTGCTCTTCTTTAATGTACATTTTTTTGCAAGCTCCTTTGCTAAAAAGCTGCCAGCTACACAATTGGCAAGACGGCCCAGACGTGGAGGAAAAAAAAACCTTTTCATTTCTGCACACAAATGCACATTTTCAACAGCTGTCATCATAATTTGCTCGTCCGCCAGATAAACAAACCACAACAATGTTGCTTTTTGACAATGACTGTCAAGTCAATTTAAATGAGGCGGCCGAGAACAAATCAACACAATATCATTGTCGTGAAAGCTGCAATCAGATCTCATAAAAGCCAACAGAAGGCCCTTTCTCGACAACAGGCTTTGCTTTTTAATGCCACACAGCACGTTCGCCTCACATCCCACTGTTTAAATAAAAGTGCCCTTCCCGCTCACAAATCTAACAATCTCCCTCGACATGCAAAATATAGGGGGGAACAAAGGATGCATTTCCACAGGTCTATATGGTTTGGAGTATGAGCTCCTGTCACTGTTAGTGAGGTCAAGTTTATCCAGGCAATTTGTAGACAGAGATAAAGCTTTTTTTTTAATTTTAACACTTCTACATGACTTAAAAGTGTAAATGTGGTGGTGGTGGTGGGGGGGGGGGACAAACAAATGTGTTGCATGCTGGATGAACATAAAGGGAAATACTGAGTTGCAGCAAATAGTGGACATCCCTCAGTCATCTATGGAAGACAAATAAACACCTCAAATAAATGCCCCCCTTTCGCCTATCATTAAAAACATGCAGTAACTGTATTTAACTGGTTCCACTAAAGATGTTTGCTTCATTCAAGGCATGAGGAGAGGTGAAAGTTGGGGGATGACAACTCGTGGCTGTTTCACCATGGCGAGCATCTGACACTTCCTGGCTGAGAAGAAGAAGCCAACTAACATGGCTCGGTATTATTATTTTTTTTCTTTCCCTATTGCCCTAGCTTAGGGGAAAACCTCCAGTACCCGTTTTGAAGACTTTGATGAGATCAAGATGGACATGAAGACAGAGCTGTGGAGGGTCCCGGAAGAATGCTTGCAAAAACGCTTGATGGCATCTCAGGGAAGGCTGGGAAAGTGCGTTCGGCTCCAAAAGAATAACTTTATAGGGGAAAACCTGCAGTTTAGTTTTTAATATACTTTTGTGACACAATCCAGGGACCTTTTTGACACAACCCATACTTGACTTGTTGCTCAAAAAAGTTGTGATTCAACAATGCCGAAGTTCCATATTAATCAGGCGTTGAACAGTAATGGAGGACTGTCGTGCAATGAGGCGCAGCGCCTACTCACCGTACACATAGAGGATATAGTCATCATAGGCCTCGCCCACCGTGTTGGAGGCCACACAGCGATACGTGCCGTTGAAGGACTTGTTGAGGTTCTCAATGAACAAGTCCGAGCCGGTGACCACGGCGTGAGACGGCATGTCCTCGTTCACCCTTAGCCAGTTGATCTGATGAGGACTGTGAACACATTTGCACAGGAAGCTTAAATACAGGTCAATACTGAGAGTCATATTGAAACGCTGCACTGAAAAGAGACATATTTGGCAAACTCTGCCAATTGAAAAACTTACTCCTATCTCTGTGTGCTTATGGTTTCATATGGACCTGGGGCTAAAAAGCAAAGCATGGGGAGTCTCTGTCGCTGAACTACGAATGCTCAATGAATGGAGCAATCTTTGCCAAGTCTCTTAAATACCCACGTTTCAGCTCCCCCCCTATTTCCTCTCTTTGCAGTATTATAAAATAGCTACGGCGGGCCACTTCTTCCTTGACAGTCACGTTTGTGGTTCGGTAAATTATACAGCAGTACAGTGTATTGAAAGTGGTGTGTCAAAATGCTATGCGATAATAACACTTAAGGTCGCGGTTTTCTCGTTGCAGTAAATTGGTTTTGTGTGACAGTCGCTTGGTGTGCGGCTCAGAACTTTTTTGGGGGAGTGGGGTCACTAGTTTAGTCATTTCAACACATTTTTACAGAAACAGGCAAAAAAAAAAAAAAAAAAAAGATTAACTTGGTTATTTAATTTCATTCTTTGAAGGTTGGGAAGGCACTCCAGAGACATCTATTTGTTTAAAAGCAATTAACAAGTATATTTTCCTGTCAAAATATCAAGGTGAAGCAGAAAACATTGTCAGTGTTTGACATGGGGGTGGAAAATCCAATAAAATTTCAATAGTATCGCAATACAGCAATTGCATTCTCATCAATATATTAGAAAAAAACATTAATATATCATGAATAACAATACAGAAACAGCTGTCATAAACTCCACCTATTTGGATATCGAAAAGCCCTCATCTCGTGATTTGACGTGATGTCTCAAGATTGTGCTATAAGTGAAAGTCATACGATGCACGTTGACTCTGACATTTTGTCCCACCCTTCATCTGTACTGCACACGTGCACTCACTGTGGTTTTCCTCCTGCAATGCACGTCAGATCAAGATTATCGCCCTCTCGAGTTAATCCTTCGGGATACGTCACCACAATCTTCACTTCAGGTTTATCTGAGGAATAAAAAAAAAGAAAAGAAAAGAAAAAAAAAAGACACTTATTGACTTGTAGGGTATACCCTTAACAAGGCCGACCGGCTCTTTTTTTACTGCCTCTCCTACCTGCAACCAAAACTCCAATAAAATTATTATTGCACTCGGAAACGTGAAGCGAGAACAACTCGAACAAAAGTAAAAAAAAAATAGCCAGGAGTGAAACGTGGGGCAGGATGAAAAGGATTATCCGATGTGCACAGGTGAGATCTACTCAACCGGTCGTAGTTTACAACAAAATCATTTCTCTCTCCTTATCGCCGTGTGCCCAAGATGACCAAATTGTCAAGCACTTCCAGCCAAGCTTTGTGTTTTTCCTTCAAAGGTCAGACATAGAATGCAGACCAAATTTAATATTCTTCGCCTCGTACACTATAGTGACTTAACCTTTAATTAAGATGCACTGAGGCAGTCCGGTTTATCAGTCACACTTGATCAGAAAAGCACCTGAAGCTAACAAGAGCAAAATCTGTGTGCTGTCGAGGAGCATTTTTATAGTCTTGTCTCTTCAGCGCATGGTGAACGCGCACGTTGATTGGCCAGTAATAATTTCGCTAATTAGTGGAGGAGAAGTCTATTATTCTACAGAATTTCTCATTCGTTAATCAAGTAATCGGAAAAAAAACTAGTTATATTTACACCCTATGAACTCTGCTTAGCAACGGGTATATTATTTGACGAAATCAGTAAATGCACATTATTAAACTCATTTGAAAAGATGAACAATGTTTCCAACACTCCCAAACTTTGAAATTTTATCTTGACAAGCACAGTATTAAGATACATGCGTGATAAAGTCTGTTGAAAGAAAAAAAAAAGGACGTAACGCAAAAGGTGAGTGAGGAAAAGGCAATTTTTCACCATTTTAACATTTTAAAATCCAACGCATAAAAAGAAGCCTATTAATAGTAGATATTCAAAAAGAATAAAACAAACATGCACAAAAAATAACGAAATAAAGTAAAACCATAACACGATTTTTGTTCAGGAAAGAAAATGGTGAAAGTGCTATTAAAACAACGATAACTAACTGAAACTCCATGTTACGTTGATAAAACTAAAACTAACTATAATATTAGCACAAATAGACCCCGTTTTCAAACTAAACTAAAACAAAGCATTTTTGGAAAAAAATAAATAAATCACGAACAAAAACTAACAAACACGTTCCGACCACTAAATCTAATTCATTTAAGAAACAAGAGTCAAATTGAAATAAAAAGTAACTCTCATGATCAATTCAAAACTATTAACTTACAACCCCATTATGTTAACAAGATAACATCGCCACAAAAAGTCAGATAAAAAATGAAAACGCTTATATGCTTGGTGAAGTTATGTATGACTTTGGGACACGCCCGAGGAATATTTCACATCCCGGGTGGCATTTGACTTTACAGGCTTCACTGTGTTAGGTGATTTGTTGCTGTGCAGTAATTTCCGGAGTAATCATGCGTTCGGATTGCGGTGTGCGGTGTCATTGTGTAGCGGTAGTTTTAAGAAGCTGCTCACATAGCACTTCCAGGTTCCGTTGAGCCAGCAGGTCATTCGCGGCCGGATGGTCGATGATGCAATCCACCGGCACGCCGTCGTCTTCTTTGCTGACTAAGAATCGCACGCGGCTGGTGACGGTAAACATCCGGTCGTACATCTCCTCCACCGTTGTTTCACCTGGAAAGAAGGGAGAGGTGAACTGCAGTGGTGGGCAGCAAATAGCGAGATTGTTGGGAGTATCTGTTCTTTACTTAGCTATTTGATGACTTTTATTTTTACTTCAAAACTCAATACGTTTTATTCCTGACTTTGTAAAAATAGGCTTGCGTGACTTCTAACCTCAGAGAAGATGACGGAGCATTAAAAAAAAAAAAAAAACAACAACAAAAAAACAACAACAAATAAATAGAGAGGTCAAGTCAACCACGGTTGAGCTTTTGATTGATTTGAGATTTTGAGGAAAAATGAGGTGGAAACGGCAGGGACTGTGAAATGGAAGAAGATGACCGAGAGATGATTAACGTCAATGGTAACGCAATTGGAGAAGCGTGATATTTTTCACATTTAGGTGACGGATATCGTCCTAATTTCCATGTTAATATCTAAAATATTCATATCTCATTATCAATATGATGCCGATATATCGCCCAGCCCTACTCAGGTGCGACTTGTACATATTAAAATTAGAGCAAGGACTCGCGCCCAAAATCCATGTCCTCTAATTGTGTCAGCAGCAGCGAATGAGTGCGAGCTGGATTCAAAACACAATTAGGAAATGGAGATGTTGGGTGCGGACCCGAGTTCTGCTGTTTGTGGTCTTGATTTTTGGAAAAATAAATTACCACACAAAATGCAATTTCTCATCTAGTCCAACTTTTTTTTTTTTTCCGCCTTCATGAAGCATTTTTTGATTGGTGCTACTTCAAACTCAGTCAAAAGATTACACTAAACGGATGTCCTGAAATATACTGGCAAAACTCAGATTAAGTGACATTCTAGTATGCTAGATTTTAGTCAACCTAAATTAAAAATGGGGACAAAAAAGCCATTCTGCTGCAGATTGAGAGGAAGTGGGCTGATTTTCAGGTAGGTCAGTGGTTAACTGCTGAAAAAAAACATTTTAAATTCCGCCATTGCACAAAGTTGCATATTCAGCAAGTTAATCATGAAGAGCACATTTGGTGTCAAGTCGCCTTTACATTGAATTTCGGAGATAGAGAGGATTTAGACGATTCTTAAAGGAGCAAGTGGGTCATATGAGGCTGATAATGAGTGGCCTTTACAGCGTTAGGGCAGAGCGTTGTTGGGGTTGGGTGTCGGGGCGGGGGCAAACCGGCAGTAATCTGCCGTCCGTTCGACCCTGCGGAGCTGTCAGAGAGGGACTTCATTTAAAGAGCATTACAATGCCACGGGGGCAGCGCATTAGCCGCAGTGCTGAGTACGACGCTTTCCTCGCACTTAATGAAGTGGGGAAATAATTACCCCCACCCCCCACTCTGACCGTCGCACTTTCATGGTCACAAGGGGAGCCCCCAAAGGACTCAAAACAGTTGATGATGATGATGATGCCAACACACACTGACAATACGGATGGGTATTAAGGTAACACACACCGGCCTACCGAAGACCCGCTCTGGGCTTTGTGTATTGAGATTTGTAAATGGTCAGTGCACTTGAGCGCTATTCCGAATACAACATGCAACAAGGCACAGAAATCAACGAGTTTACTTTTGGTTGTTTCTTGCAGAGCTCACGGGAAGCGATTCATTGCTTAACCAGTTTTAGTATGATTGTGTGCAAAACATCCACCGTTGTAATTGGTCGAACAATCACATGTTGTCAGGGCATTTTTAAATCAATTGAAATGTTGGCAGCAAGATATTTGGAAGGATTTGAAAAGGATGATTTTTATTTATTTATTTTTTTTAATTCACGTGACGAAAACCTCTGTGATAATTTGGGACAAGATATACCAAACTGACCTTTCATGGAGGCGACATAAAATACAAAGGTATTTTATGTCGCCTCCATGAAAGGTCAGTTTGTATTCATCATTGTGTGCGTGTTATTTTTTTGAGGGGTGGAGGGTAGTGAAATATCCCCCCCCCCAAAAAAAAAGCATTAGAATAATAATCAATTTTCTGAAAATAAAATGCCTAATTGCTATAACGATAAAAAAATTATGACTTTTGTGTTTCTCAATATTTCTCAATATTTCTTGGAAAATTGACAAAAATTGACAAAACTTACTTGAGGGTTCATGTAAATCTGTGGGGCGCGGGTGGAAAATTGACAAAACTGAAATATTGTTGGGATTACTTGAGGGTTCATGTAAATCTGTGGGGCGCGGGGGCGGGGGGCATGAGTGCTATTATGTTGTAGCATGTAATGGCTGATACACTAAACTCAGATTCGTGAATGTGATGAAAATAATGGAAATAACATATTTCCCACTACCCTTTTGAAATAATGTAAAAATATAATTTTTGGGGTAATTTAATGTTTCAATCAATTGACTTCGAAGCAATAAACTGTTGCCTTTATCTGTTTGAGTACACTGGATCATAGCAATTTTTTTTTTCCCCAGGGCAAAAATGATTATTTTCTTTGGAACAAGGAAGAGCCACATTATAAAATGTACAGGTGTCTACTAGACATTAAAATTCATGGCGTCACGTATTGTAACTCTGAACGTGGGTGTTTTTTTTTTTCCTTTAGTGCAGAAACAAAAAGTCTGCATCTGGTATGGAGATTTGAGCTTTTCTGAGTTGCGTTTTGAGGACGAGGGTCGGAGAGTATACTTATCAATGTTGAGGCTTGTCAATTATCAACGTCATCCATGTGCAGATGAAGTAAAAGAAAAGATTGGAAAAAAAAAAACAGCTGCAAATCAAAACCGTCGCAGGGACTTGAATCTAAATGCGGACCGGATTTGAGTGTCGTAGCGCAGGCGCCTAATCAAAACACACTTGTGAGCATCAACCACTGATCAATCCCAGCACAATCAAGCATAACCTCTGCCAGGGTGACACTTGCCGCTGTCAAACGCTGTCTGAACAGAATATTGAATTAGGAAATCAGACGGCCTTTCAGATGACGGGTTGGCAAAACAAGCTCAAAAAACATTGCAAGGAGTAAATTTAATGTTGACACCAATCTTCCAAACAAACTTCCGTTTGTTTGCAAAACATGTTTTTTAAGATTCCAAAGTTAAAGCTACAACTCAACATCGGACTATTTCAGTTCTTTGCCTTAAAAATACGTTTCGTTCATGAGTGTGAGTGCGGCAAGTCAGTGGGGACGTGCTTGAAGTACGGAAGATGCTAGAAAAATACTTTTGTTTTCATTTTGACGACAGCCCCAAAAAAAAAAGAAATCGGCCTGACCAGATAAAATCCGATTACCGCAATTTCTGGACTCTACTTTTTTGACATGCTTTGAATGCTGTGGCTTAAACAATGATGCGGCTAATTTATGGATTTTTACGTGCTAACGAGATTCATATCGTCAATACAGGGCTGTGTCTCACATCATAAAGTGGCAACAGTTCTGAGATACAGCGCGCAAGAGAACAAAGTACTGCCCGAGGTGAGACCAAGCCCTCTTGTTTGCTGTCACAAAAATGTCGAGGGGGGGATACTCCCGTCTGCCTGGGGAAGCCACTTTTAGACAAAACGTGACATTGAGTAAGAAATGTTTGTTTATATTTCTGACTGCTTCGTTGTTCCTCACCCAAACGAAAGTATTTTGGTTGACTACATAAAATAAAAATCAAGAGAGTTTTTAAAAAACATCAACTGAATTTTACATTAATAATACCAACTGAAACGAACTCAAGCAAAAATATCATTCAATTTTTTTTTAAAGCTGGACTAACAGACAGACTGATTGACAGACCGACAGACAGATAGGTGGATAGACACTTGTAAAACATATAAAAACAAAACCAAAAAAAATGATAAAAATCAACCAACTCAATCTGAAAACTATTTATAACTAGCGGAATTTGAAACACAAAGGTCAAACCACTAAAAACTAGCCATCATGAAAAATCGAAAACTACACTTGTATTTTTGTGTAACACCACTTGTATTGATTTAGTGCGCTGAATATGATGACGCCACTGGTCGTTTCATCGTGTGTGTTCAGACGAGCTAGTTGTGCACTTGATATTCCCTCGATTGCCTCAGGACACAAGTACAGTAATCAACCATCAGTCCTACACACAATCGACAAGAAATTGATTGATTGTAATGGCCCTCCTCTAACCCAGCCGCTGGGGGGCAGTGCCCTCCCCTGGGGGTGCACTGTTCCCCAGTGCCGGTCCCAAGCCCGGAGAAATGGGGAGGGTTGCGTCAGGAATGGCATCCGGCGTAAAACTTTTGCCAAGACGACCATGCGAGTTGGTAGGACGGTTTACAGGGGCGGATGGAAATTACTGACTCGCTGTGGCGACCCCTGAATAGGGACGTGCCGAAAGGAGAAGAAGAAGAAGAATGGCCCTCCTCTGTCTTCATTTATCTTGGCTGAATGCCATCCAGTCATTCAGGCATATTGTGGAAAGAAAATGCAGAGCATCGTATCCGAAATCTCGTCGTCTCAAAGCTCAGGAATCACGCGGAACATTTGGAGACGTGGCCTCAGGAGTAATGTTAAGACCCACAACAAAAACGCTGCACACACTACAGTATTTTTGCAAAACTTTAACTTCTAATCCTTCTACGAACACCACTTGTATTGATTTAGTGCGCTGAATATGAAGCACTGTTTTCCGAATGAGCAAAACATTAAGATGGTTTATGATTTCATCCTCTGCAGGCTGTTTCACATCCCCACCCGCAAATCATAAACATTATTCAGACAAGGAAATCAATTCGGTAAAAGACCAGCAGCAGACAAGATTGTTTCCACATTATTTCAATCATTCTGCTGCTGTAATTTATGTTAATTTTGCCACCTAGTGTGCTGATTCTCTCTCCGGGGCCAGAAGCTTCCAATGGCAATCCTGACAGCTTGATTATTGATTGCAAAGCCAATACTATCACTGATGCTGAAATCAACCAGCAGATCACTTTGTCTATCCTGCCAAAAATGACGGAAATATTGACTGTGTGCTATGTCACTCCATCACTGTGGGGAAACGAAGCTTCAAACAATGCAATACAAGACCGTCACCACACTGCATGTGTTACCTTATTGTTGATGTGACTCAATAAAATTTCCCTCAAGTTCTGATAGAGTTCACTCCAATTACAATACATTTAATCGAATTACGAGACAAAATAATTCACACCAATGGTATAATACTATTCACGCCGATTACGACGCAATAAGATCTTTTCAAATGACGATAGAAAATACGATTTACTCCGACTGTGATATATGATTCGCTCTTGTCATGATATTATTACCTCAAAATTCAATTCAATACTGTACTGTATCTAATTTTGATACAGTATAATTCACTCCAATTTTAATCCGATTTTCACCAAGTACGATAAGATCACCGTATTTTCAGCACTATAAGGCACACCTTCAATAAATGGCCGATTTTTAAACTGTTTTCATATGTAGGGCGCGCCGCATTATAATGCACACAGAATAGAAGCTATAATAGTGGCTTTAGTTGCGTTGTGCATCCACTAGATGGAGCTACGCTAAAGGGAATACAATACAACCTGTAACAAAGCGTTTTACAGAACATGTAAAATACGACATCCGAGAAATCAGAATATTGATCATATATAATGTGCATCGTATTATAAGGCACACTGTCGGCTTTTGAGAACATCTTAATAGTGTGGAAAATACGGTAATTCACTAGAAATCGGCCATGAAGAATACAAATATGATACAATGTCATCCCCTGCAATCACAAAATGATTCACTCAGATTAGTATGTGATTCTTTGCAATTAGGACACGATAAGGACACGATATACTCCAATTACCATATGACATGATAAGAGTGCGATAAGATAACATTTTGACTGCACTCACACTCCAAGGACAATGTGGTTAACTCCAAACACGATGTGATGTAATCCAATTCGAATCCACTTGACTCAGATTATGACACAATTCCCTCCAGTTATGATACAATTCACTCAAAGTTTGACATGATACGATTCATTCCAATTACGACAATTGTCAATTACGATATGATTCTGCATGAATGTGAGTCAATACTGTAAATACTGAAGCATTGATGTGTATAGTCCCCCCGCCCCATTCCTCGTCACTGTGGATAACTGCTGGAGATCGATAATGATATTTGTATACTCTAAGAACAGCTTTCTCAATCGTGCAAAAAGTGAAAATACTTACAGCTCAGTCGTGAATATATTTAAACTACAAGCTGTAATGACGATAATGGCATTCTATGTCCCACAATTCTTCATCCATCAACTGGACCATGTCTAAATATTTCGTCTCATGACAAAACCAATGAATTTGACAACAGGCACGCACAGATCCACTCTGGGTAAATACGAAAGAACAAAAATGAATATTCCTCCCCTTGCTGCGCACTAATGAAAAACTGATGACCCTTAATCATAACTGAGAGGCAATAAAGACGATTCCACACTGCGAGGTTATACCTCTGTGCACTAGCCCAAGATGCGGAAATGAAAATGAAATGCAAAAATGTGAATTCAAAACAGTGACTGCAAGTTTGCAGTGTCTAGAGCAGTGGTTCTCAAACTGTTCGATCGAATCGGTGAATCAGTCTCAGGGGTTCGACAGCGCTTCTGCCATGGAGTTTAAGACACACCCGACTCAACATGTCAGTTATGACACGCCCGCTTGGCCGTCACTGGCTGGTTCATTTTGTGCACAATTAAAAAACGTATACTTTATACTTATACTAAGCGTTTTTAGGGTTTTTTTCTGTTTTTAATGAATGTGTTTTTATTTTTATGTCTTGAATTTGTAAAAAAAAAAAAAAAAATCTTTTTATTTTTCACAAATGAAGGGTTCGGTGAATGTGCATATGAACTGGTTGGGTTCGGTACCTATAACAAGGTTAAGAACCACTGGTCTAGAGTCTTTCATGGCAACACAAACAGATTTATCGCCATGCCATTCCATCAGCATTCAACTTGTTTAACAGAACCGTGAGAGTAAATATTTGGGGAATTTGAAATCACACCACGAGCCGCAGAGGCTGATGATTTATGAGAAACATTCAGCAACAAGATGCTCTTAACGGGTGGCTTGATCACTGAGTTCTTCTGCTGAGCAAGCAAAAACAGTAAATAAGAAAATGGAATGGCTCTCAGGGGAGCGAAGGCTAACTTAGCTAAGGCCAAACAATCCTCAACAAGTTCATCTGAGGTTTTTCAATGAAAAATCTTGGCACTCTCTATCTGCCCAAAGTGAGTGATCATTGCCCTTCTGGCCCTAAATGCAAGTGGACCGTAACAACAAACAGACCTCAAAACAAAACCTCTCACCCTCATGTTTTCATTTTTGGACCCAGCGACCAAGGTCCTATGTTTAATTGTGCCACTGGCACACACCCCTCACCCCCACCCTCGCCTCCTGTTTTCAGGAGCTAGGTGGTGGTTTCCATTGCTGACTGCAAAATATCACTCAGATACCAGAAACCACCACAGTGTGGAACTCATTCAGAAAATATCAAAATTATGTAACATACTGGCGAAATTTTATTTTCCATTAAATTGTATTTATATTTTTGTAATTAAAACTATTACAATACTTTGAATTGTATTAACTACAGTTTCGAATCAAAAGTAAGATTTTGTCCTCAAAAATGTATTCTCTCAGTTATATTTTAATTTACATCAGAACTGTAAGTACAACTTTATTCTCACATTTATTTATTTGTTTTTTTACTGGGTTCGTTTAGGAATCTATTGTTTACGCCATTGTGGGAGTGAACTCAGCCGACTTAATTCCTGACCAGTCAAAGCCACTCCTCTCATTCCCTTTAAACTAGGCGCATGAGAGCTGCACGGTCTATATGGCAGAATCATAATGGACACACTGGAGTCCAAAATATGTGCAAAATATGTTTGTAGGGACCTGAAAGATCTCCACCTGTGGATTATATAAAGTTGGCCACTGTGAAATTGGCACTTGGAGAGCGCGTTCCACCCCCGATCGTGCGTCAGAACAGTCAGTCCTCATATCGGCCTACTGTTTCGACAAATGATTGATCAATCTAATGTGTGCTTGCGCTCTTCAACGATCCAATTTTAATGGCCAGCATGCCGTCTTTTCTTTTTTTTTTTTCTCCTTAAAAGCGAGTCTTTTGGAGTTGCAAGAACCCTCCTATCGTATACATCACAAATAAAGTCGAAGGGGAGTGCTAGGGAGTACGTACTGTACGACACGTCAATGTAATATGAAAAAAAGTGCCAGAGGAGGTAGGGAGTGCATATGCTACTAAGATACTAATCACGGAAAATAATTTGCTCCTCTGCTCCAACCATCAACCACCATCCATGTACATGTTGTATGAGGCACATTTTTTTCTCAGATGCAGCTGCTAGTGGCAGGCAAGAGGGCATGAAGTCATGTTGAGACTTGAATTTGGACCTACCTGTCATTTCCTCATCTCCTTTCATCCATCTGATGGAGGCTGCTGGCTTGCTGCCGCTGGCCGTGCAGGTTAGCTCCGTCTCGTTGCCCTCGCTGACCACGTCCTCGCGGCTCTCGATGATCGGGCTTCCCGGGGGCACTGATGCAAAAAATAACGGCTCCAGTTATGAGGATGCACATGCTCGTATATTGGACAAGGATACACAGGGTGGATAATAAAATACAAGCGCCAACTGCCTTATGAATATTTTGACAACCCACATGACTTTTGGATAACCTCTCAAATTTGAAATTTAGGAACACAAACCAATGGAAAAATCAAACCTCTGCATCGTGCCTGCTTGGAGTTATAATAGTTTGGGAATTTCACGTTTTAGTTTTTATTTCAGTTTGACTTTTGTTTTTTAAATTCTTGTGTGGAGTTTGCATGTTCTCCCCGTGCCTGTGTGGGTTTTCTCCGGGTACTCCAATTTCCTTCCACATTCCCAAAACATACATACAAGGTTAATTGATCACTCTAAATTGTCCCTGGTTGTTATTGTGAGCATGGATCGTTGTTCGTCTCTGTGTGCCCTGCAATTGGCTGGCAACCGTTTCAGGGTGTCCCCCGCCTACTGCCCAAAGACAGCTGGGATAGGCTCCAGTATGCCCGCGATCCTCGTGAGGATAAGCGGATCAGAAAATGGATGGATGGATTCACACCAAAAGCTGATTTCAGAAATTAATTTACAAATTTCAAAACAAATGACATTTTTGCGATAATTATAGCTAGTTTTAGTTTTGTGAAGTTGACATTTTGTTGAAGCCAGTTGTTGTTTCTTGAAAGCACTTGTTTTCATTTTACATGTTTTTTCCCCGTCTTGATTTATTTTTTCATCCGTTTTCATGAACGATGATAACCTTGCTCTGCGTATTCTATGTCCCTACTGTAAGTTGCAAAAGCTTGACAATCATACAATTACGATAAATGTTACTAAGGTGGAAATTCAGTACAATAAAATTCTATCAACAGTTTCCAGCAAAAACTTTATTGTAAGTTCTTTCCAGTGTGTCCTTGTGGCCCAAACAAGTTTGAAAAGTTTGCTGCATTCGCCTTTGAACGCTTCAGCCGAACTCACAGAAAAGGATGAATAAGTCAAGATTTAAATATGAAATAAAGTCTTCGCGCATGAAGCCAAATAATTCCTCCATGCATTGAACGCAGGATACTCTTCCCTTATTCCTCAAATTAGTCATCGGGCTGAACTCTCGTCGCTTGAAAGCCAAAAGTCAGAGGGGGGTTCATTCCAAGGACTCTTCAATGCAACCCTCAGTTTAGGAGAAAAATGCTGCCACTGTCGGCCTCAATTGTACAAGAAAAGCAATTACTTTAAAGGGCTTTTAATTCCTTTCATTCATCGCCGGGATGTTGGCGTGTATAATAAAGCTTAACTAGAATCATTTTGCCCCAAAGCATCACAGTGAAGGCACAGCTGACTCTCAAAAGGGAATGGTTTGGGAACAGCCAAGTCAACATTCACTGGAATTCACACAGTCAACACAGCTGCCAAGACCGATGCGGCAGACACCATCGGTTTGAGCATCTGCTCCTTTTTCGCACTGAGGGCCCTTAATTGGCTGACATTTTGTTTCGGTTGCTAAAGATGACTGGATCAAAGATGACTACTATCCATAAAGCAGCAAGATAAGATTAAAAAAAAAAAAAAAAAGAAAAGTAAGTCAACGAATTTGTGGGAGGGAGCACATGTGGTGCACATGAAAGGAAAGATGACAAAACTCCGAAGACGAATGGGAAGGAGTGCATACGAAGTGACATGTAGGGTTAAGGGGATGAGAGGGACTGACACAACTAAGGCATGGGGAATGAGAAAATATAAAAACAGGAGTGAGAGCAAGTGCATCGACTGCACCGAAAAATTAAGATAAAAAAATTGTGAGGGAGTGCATACTGTACACTTCACATGTGAGCTGTACGGAAGAAGGGGGGGGTCGGAGGGAGTGCATACGCTACCCAACACTAGTAAGATTTTTTTTAAAAAATAAGTTTGACAGAATGAGCAGGAGGGAGTGCATACTTAATATTTCACAAGTTAAAAAATAATCAAACAAAATCAAAACAGTGAGGCACACGTACCGGTGCCTCATACCTACCTAGGACGGTGATGTCGGCGTAGGCCTCCTGAGGGGGGTCAGTGTAGAGCTGGCACACGTAGCGTCCGTCGTCGGAGAGCGACACATTGGACAGGGACACCCGCAGTTCATTGTCAGAGAAATTCATCAGCTGGAACCGGCTGTCCTTCAGGGCTGTGAGCGGGGGGCCACAGGACACATCATGAGAAGCCACGTAGCAACGTGAGAAAAAGGTCCCGTGCAAAACAGCGAGGGCTCAAAATGAGCGCGAGGGGGCAGGAAGACAAAAGAGGCAGGGGGCGAAAATGAGATGGGGAGGAGCGCAAGACGCTCTGCAAGCTCTCTCCTTAATTGAGTCAAAGAAAAGTCGGCTTCAAAGTGATTCATACGATTGGATTTATAAAGTAGCTTCACAGTCGGAGAAGCACCCGCCAAGACAGAAACGTGAGAGGGGCGCTCATGAGGGCTCCTAACAAGCAGGCAACTCTTAAAACAGACTGCTGTTCCTTGTCATGTATGGGTCCATTTCGCTTCAATTCGAAAAATATTAATACATTAAAGCTACTGGAGAAAAAAAAACATTAAAAACATTTCAGCAGCTTGTTTTGTTAAAATTCTTAGTCCGCATAAAAATGCATTGACAGGCTGTCAAGCGGACGCCAAAGCAACAGGTGGCACCCTACGACTTCAATGTAAGGCCGACAGTCAGAAGCATGACGAAAGCCGTTGGAGGAAAAGGCAGAAGAACAACAGCTGATCAGGGAAAGGGGTGAAATTATCACGTCTCTTCAGTACAAAAGATAACACGAAAAATGAGCTAACTTTGTGATAAAGGCAGTCATCGAGGTCAGGGCGACACATTGTCAGTTGACATGTATGCGTACCATGTTAGATTGTGAATATGTTACAAGTAGGATTAAAAAACGTGATAGGAGGGTTGGGATGGAGTGAACGCGCTACACGTTCCAATTAATATCAGGTCTGAGAGGAGCGTTGGGGGACTGCATCTGGTACATGTCGCAAATAAGCTAAAAAGTGACACCAAGTGCGGGATGGAGTGGGAAAGCGTACGTATGTTACACCTAGCAAATAAGAGACATTGTGTGAGGGAGATCCCCCGCCTGTCGCAAATAAGCTAAAAAGTGAGGCTCCAACACCCCTGGAGTGGGTAGTGAGGATCAAGCGGTTCGGAAGATGAATGAATGAATGTGTGAGGGAGCGCAGACTGCACACTTCGCATGTGAGATGAGCCATGTTTGGGCGTGCATGCAGTGCATGTTACAAATAGGTGTGAGAGGAGAAGTTGGGGAGTGCACATGGTACAAGTTCCATGGAAGAAAAAGGGAGACGAAGGATTGGGACGCATACGCTACATGTAATATGGAGGATTAAAAGAATGAAAAGGACTGCGTATGGTGCACATTGTAAGATCAAGTGAGAAGAGCGGCAGGAGGGGGTGCATGCTGTACCCATCCCAACTAAGAAAGTGAGAGGAGGGTTGCGAGGGAGTGATACATGTTCCAATTCATGTCACATGTGAGGGGAGGGATGTAGGAGTGCATACGTTACGCTGTTACACTGTGTTTTTATGTTGTGTGTTGTGTTTATTATATTACTTTATGCGAGCTGTTTTGTTCAGCGCTTTGTTACAGCTGCAGCTGTTGTGAAAGCGCTATATAAATCAGGATGTATTGTATTGTACACATCGCAAGATAAAATGACATGAAGGCTGGGATGTAGTCAGAAGAGGAGTGAGAGGGAGTGCATACATAACACTTCACAAGTAAAACGAGGAGAGAGGAGGACGGAGCAAGTATAGTATGCGGCACGAGTAAGACACAGTGAAAGGAAGGAGTGTATGCGGTGCTCCTTACAAGTGTGGGAGGACAGGTGAGGGAGGGAGTGCATAAGGTACAAGTTACAAGTGAGATAAATAGCAAGATGAAGGGTGCAAGGGGGTGAGAGGAGTGCATACGGCACATGTAATATGCAAGTGGAAGAGTGAGAGGGAGTGCGTACGTTACACTTCAGCAGTAAGATTCGACTTCAGTGTATGCGGCGTTTGGCACAAGTAAATAAAAGTGAGCAAATCAACGCCTGAATCATTAATTGCAAATGTATTACGCGTGTTTTTCTGAAAGATATGCCTTCATCCCAACGATAGCAGACTTCAGGTCAATACCAATGGATTACATTCTAGTAAACGTTAGCATGCTCGGTTGAAGCCATCTTTTCTTGCCAGTGTGCTCTTTTTACATAAACATCTTTGGCTGATTGGATCAGTGGGGGCTGCATTTGATGCTCTGACCTGAGCTCCTTATGAGGTCCTTTGCAGAGATAGCCAACTCCTTGCTGCTGCCGCCTCTTAAAGCGCGGAAGGCGTTTTTGGTATTCCCATCAGGCTCGGCAGTTATTATCATGATCATTACTCAAGGTCTCGGGGCAGCATCAACATGAAATCCCATCTCCTCCCCCGATATAATTTGAGAGCTCTTGCGGAGGACTCAGAGGGGAACAACGTCGCACGTGTAACTTGGAGAGTCACAACACCTGATAGGGAGGGAAATCCTGACACCCCCGTGACGCCGGGTGGAAATTAAACAACAGCACGAGCAACGACGCGAGAGCTAAAGTGCTTACGAGTACACTTAAAAAATGTATGTTCCTGCCATCAGGTTGTATAAGAACGTGGAATAATCACACACCTAAGGAAGAGTACGCATAGCATTAGCATATTAACTACTTGTCAAGTAGATAATTTTCAAAGTGGAACCTGTCCTTATAAAGGCATTGTAATTTAAAGTTCAAGTCAATTTCCAAGTATTTAAGCAAGCTAAATTGGCTTATCCTACTTTTATAGAAATATTTAGCTTTACATTTGATGTCATTGCAATTATTAAGTGTTTAAACTGGATTTGGGAATCTTGCTTTTGTACATAAATGTTAAAAAAAAAGCAGCTGACTACTGATAACGATTGGTTTTCTTGTTATTGGTTTGGCTACTTCCTGGCACACACATACAATAAAAACAGACAATAAAAGTGACATTAGCTACCAGGCTATTTCCTGGTTTGTGTTAGGGTAACGTGGTGGGTCTGTACGATTTTTGATTCTGGGACTCAAACAGGAAAAAAAATAAAACAAAATAGAAATAGTTGTGTGCAGACTCTAATTTAAGATGGCGGGACTGCATGCATTTGGCAGGAGGAACAGTTTTGTCATGACCCAAACAACAAAAACAGACAATTGATTTTTATCTGACCTGTTTGTTAGGTATCAGGTTCGTTGACTAGGAGACAGAGACAGTACTATTTGCATTCCGGAGCGAAAGGAACACAACCATCATGACCCCGCCAAAAAAAAAAAAAAAAAAAGTTACCATTCAGTTCAACGATGTCCTCTTGGCAAGGTCAAAATGAAAATCATGGAGTGCATCCTCGACCTTCGTCAAGCCGAGAATCACCATTTACAAATTCCTACGTATTGATTTGTCTGGAGGACACAAACTATGTTATACGTCTGGTATTGATGTAATTGTGCCTTTGTTCAGTTTTCTCTAAATATTGACCCAAAACATTAGCGAAAAAAAGGATGGTGTACAACAAGGATCGCTACTAGGACTCCTTATTTTATGTCAATTGTTCGTCTGTCTGTCTGGCAATGCATCTACGTATTTATCAACCCACCTACCTTTGAGTTAATTTAGTTCTCTATACATCTCAAAAAAAATAAAATAAAAAATCGTTTCTGACTTAATTTTCAGTTGTGAATCACTCCCTCTCGTTGCCTTAGCATTTGGTTGAATTACTTTGCGATCACACAGACGTTTGAAACAAGATTGGGAATACGTTTTCAGCCATTTAAAATCTACCTTTTTCAAAGTCAGTCGCCTTCAGAAGCGCGCTGCAGTGAATAAATAACAGTGTCGCCTCATCCACAGAGACCCTCGGATAAACCTTCATTTTTCCCTTCACAGATGTCAGCTCTGCCAAATTGCGTGTCATTTCGCATAGATCTCATACAATAAACGCCTCGTCTTGACAAGACTGTCCCTGCCTCAACCTGTAAGGTAATTTTTATTTACTCACAGCAGTATGAATGTGTTTTTTTGCTCTTGAGAGGTGGTGATCATGATGCTGTTGTGTGAATGGGTATCTGTCTTTCTTCCTTTCTTCGAGAAGGGTATCCTTTTCAGGGATAGGCTCCAGTACTATTACAAATATAAAGTAGTATTTCGGAAAATACAAGTTCCCTACATTGTGAAAGTATGAATGCACCATGTTGCTTGCATAGCAAGTGCTTAGCGTACGTGATTCTTGACATCTTAAAGCACTTTTGTGGGTTCAGTGTGAAAGGCTCAGTATGAAAAAAAATGCAGACTCTATTGCATGCTGTGACAATATATTCTGCAACTCCCATGATGCTTTTGGAAAACCAGGACAAGACAGCGCACGTCTCTTACGAGCAAAACTTGCGAGCTAACAGCTGGGCTGCATTATAGACACAAATGTTCTCCATCACCTTGAAGGCTGGCTCATATCCCAGACACAAACGAGAGAAACAAGCGCAAGTGGGGAAAGAAAAAAAAAACAAAAACGTGAAAAATAGACAAGGCCCATATGCTCATGCATAATCATAACATTCAATCTCCTAATCTAAGAGATTATCGTAAAATCGAACAGTGACAAGGACACAAAAGTATTCCCATTATGGCCCGGTGGAGAATTATCTCATATTAATCTCGCCTGCTTCCTGAGCTTAATGACTTGTGCTAAAGTGGCAAAAGTCAAGGACAGATGGAAATCACGTTGTGCGCGCATACGACGCAAAGAAGGCGGGCTCGGCAGCCGAAGCTTTCCAGCTGCTCACGTAATGGGTGACAAAACAAATCATTTCTTTTTCACAGGTGCTCCACTATTCACAAAAGATGTGGACAAAAATGCATACTTTAGAGAATCCCTTAAAGCAGGGGTCCCCAAACCCCGGGCCGCAAACTGGTACAGGTCTGTGGGTCATTTGGTACCGGGCCGCACAGAAAGAATAAATAACTTACATTACTTCTGTTTCAATCATTTTGGAATCTGAAAGATGTTTTATTTTGAAAAATTACGAGATTCTCTGTTACATCCGTCGACAGTATGTCACTGTTGACGCAGGGCTTCTCGGTCACATGATAGGTTATCGCTAAAATGAAATCCAGGAGTGAGCAAAATGAGAAAAAAAACAAACGTCTTGGGAAAGTTTCTTTGGGAAGGGGAAAAGACCCAGCCAGGAGACAGAAGAGGAGCCTACGACTTCCAAGAAAAAGAAGGCTACATTTAATAGACAGTAGGAGTCCTTCTTAAAATACAGATTTATCTCAACGGGAGATTCCCACCCACCAAGCCCACGCTGCGTAATATGCGGCGATGGTGAGTCGTATTTTTCATGCACTTTGTAGTGTATCTTATTTTGAAGGCACGTTTAAACATTACCATAGTGACCAGAGAGTGCTGCGGCCAGAGAGGACGTTCCTCGTGTCATGATTCATGTTTATTAATTATTTTTAGAAAATACCACAGTTTTCATGCAGGTCATATCATATTATGTTGTTTCATTTATCCGGCCTTAAAGGCCAGTCCCTGAAAATATTGTCTGACATTAAACCGGTCCGTGGGGCAAAAAAGGTTGGGGACCGCTGCCTTAAAGTACACTAGACAAAGCCTTTGACATAGAACACAAGTACATCACAGTCCAGAGCGGCACGGTCAGCGACAGGTTAGCACATCCGCCTCACAGTGGTGCAGCGTTCAATTCCGGCTCCGGGCTTCCCGCGTGGAGCTTGCATGTTCACCCCATGCCTGTGTGGGTTTTCTCCTGACACTCCAGTTTCCTCCCACATCCCCCCCCCAAAAAAAAAACATGCATGGGAGGTTGATGGAACATTCTAAAGCAGCAGTCCCCAACCTTTTTTGCCCCACGGACCGGTTTAATGTCAATACAATATTTTCAGGGACCAGCCTTGAAGGTGTGACGGATAAATACAACAAAATAATATAACGTGACCTGCATGAAAACGATGGTATTTTCGAAACATAATAATAAACATGAATCACGACAAAAGGAGCGTCCTATCTGGCCGCAACACTCTGGTCGCGATGGTAATGTTTAAACCTGCCTTCAAAATAAGATACAAAATGCATGAAAAATACGACTCACCATCGCCGCATATTATGCAGAGTGGGCTTGATGCGTGGGAATCTCCCGTTGAGATAAATGCGTATTTTAAGTAGGACTCCGGATATTGTCAATTAAATGTAGCTTTCTTTTTCTTGGAAAGTCGTAGGCTTCTCGTCTGTCTTCTGGCTGAGCCCTTTCCCCTTCCCAAAGACGTTTGTTTTTTTACTCATTTTGCTAGCTCCCGGGTTTCATTTCTTGCGTGACCGAGAAGCGCACCTTGAACTGCGTCAAGAGTGACACACTGTAGACGGATGTAACGGAGAATCCGGTAAATTTTCAAAAGAAAACAGCTTTCAGATTCCGAAATGAATAAAACGGAAGTAATGTAAGCTATTTATTCTTTCTGTGCAGCCCAGTACCAAAAGACCCACGGACCGGTCCCGGTCCACGCCCCGGAGGGTGGGGACCATTGCTCTAAAGAAGTGTTCCTAAGTGTGAGTTTGAGGCTCCAGCATGCCGCGCGACCCTCCTGAGAATAAGCGGATTAGAAAATGGATTGATAATTTAAACACACCGTGTTCAGAAATAAATATAAAATACATTTTAAAAAGAAATTGAAAAAACTTCTGTCGTCCACTCATTAAAGTTTTGTTGAACAATCTCATTAAATTTTCGACAATTAATTGAGCTGTCTGTAATAAATGCAGAAACCAAGCTCAAGGCCAACACAAATCACCATTGAAACCATACATAGCCAATATGTCAGGATATTTGCCCAAAATACAGTAGGAGTATGGCTGATTTTTTTCATCAAGATGTGCGATAACCTTTACTGAAAAATTAATAAGGAGGAGGCTCTGACTTGTGACCTACTACAACGACTGATAAACCAGTCATTGATTAACAGTGTGAGACTGGGCTGCACATCATCACCATCATCATCTCAAGACAATAAAATAAAAATGTGCTGTCATTGCCTTTCCATTTGAATGTAAAATAATCGTTCTTATACCATGACAACAATGCAAAAAACATGCAAAGGATGAAGTTGCATTGTTTTAATGCTTGAGGCAACGGATATTTGAACATTTATATTGACAATTATATTCGTTATCCTTTGTAAAAAAAAAAAAAAGAAAAAAAAAAAGAAAAAAGATTACTGCAGTAAGTAATGTCCTAATGTTTGTATTTTACTGGTCCCACACAACCAAGGGATGTATACCAGAAGGACCAGCACCAGGTCCATTGCAATGAAGCAAAATAATAAATTAAAAAGCATCAACGTATGCTTTTATAATGTACAATAGTACACACTTTCCCGCTTCATATTCGCTTATGGAGTCAACTATTTGCTGATGTTATTTTATTTTTCAACTTTTGTAATCGATCCTCCGTTATTTACTGGCACCATCTTGTGGAATCTTCCTGCCAAGGAACAATGTTAAAGTAAGTTGTGGAGCTTCATTTCGTTCTTTGCTGCCATATTGTTGTGGCATCTATAGTGAAGTACAAACCTTGTTGGTGTGCAACATTTTAAACATTCTTGACAGGTTTCGAACAATGTTTTTTTTATTGTGTCATTTTAACAGCGGATTTCAGAGTTAAATGTCATGGTGAGAAATTTACCAGTGCAGGTGAAACAAGCAGCTTATTACCCTGTGGTTATTTCTGTATGCTTGGAATAATTGGTTGTACACCGCATTCCAAATTATTCTGTAACTGATGTTTTTCTCAAATAGTCTACGCAAATGCCACTCAGCATAATTTTCAAGTCCTGAACTGAGAATAATTTGAATGTTTTTAAACAAAGCTCCCGATGATAACAGTATTTATGTCAAAAATAAAAATATAGTTGGTGTTAAAATGCACAGTTCCAAATTATTATGCACAGCACTGTGCCCATCCAAAAAGCAGCTTCGGGAGGCTATTCTGATATACTGCATGCAAAAAAATTCAAGCAGTGAATCTGCAAAAACTCACAAGTTCAATGGATGCAAGACTTGAGAAGCTGCGATCAAATAAAAGGCCCAACGTTAAAATCGAACCTGACCTGTTTTTGGATTTCAGCAAAGGCTGCAAATACAACCGTCACAATTCACATTGAAAACATTGAAGTTATTCTGTAAAAGTTGATGACCTGAAAATTATGGTGAGTGCCATTTGTATCGACGATTTACAAAAATCAGAAACCTAATTTGCATAATAATTTGGAACACAGTGTAATAAATATTCACAGGCAAACGCTGTAGGTACACACAGACAGGTCGAACAATACTCAAGGGCATTTTGCAACTTGGAACTTTCGCTAGTTGAATGCGTTCTCGTTTTTCAATCAATGAAAAAAAATCATGTTTATTAATCGTGATCTCAATAGCAATCGATATAATTCTGATTATCATTTTTTTTCCTCCCCATAATCGGACAGTCCCAGTCAGGGACAAAATAGAGATGACCTGTGCGGGGGAGAGGGGGATTGGGGATGACGGGGTTGGCGTATTACGTCACATAATCAGTACCACCTTGAGTCTGTTGCTTGATCGTGTTCCACTGACTTACGTCGGACATCCTTGAAGTAGATGGTCTGTCTGTTGGGGTTGAGCAGCTGGATGACCGAGTCGTCGTTGTTCCTCACCCTGCAGCTGATGGTGGCCATCTCGCCCTCCACCACCGAAACGTTGTCTGTTGCCAAGTTCTGACCTTCCACTTCAACACACACACACACACACACACACACACGCACACACACACACACACACACACACACACACACACACACACACACACACACATTACCGTCTGGACATTTACCACCTCGCAAATATTTGCGCTTCTTTCGCCAACACGACGCAACAATGCGACGCTACACAAACAGGCCTTGTGGAGATTGCGCAGCCACAGTCTAATCCATTTAATATACGAGTGCCATGTTTGTCGCTATTGATCCAGCACCCCTCATCCCCACCACCACCCACCCCATTCCCTGGATCCAAATGCTGGGTCCTCTGTGAGTCAGCGCCAGATGGGCTGCAAGCCTGGCTGCCGACAAAGCAAAAGCTGGAGAGCAGCAGCAAAACGAGAGGGTGAAATATAAAGCGGAACTAGAAAAGGTGGAAAAATATATCGATATTCCAATATATCGTCTTGCTATATTTCACGATACGGTATCGATACAACATCAGGTTTGAATACTCCAGTAAAGTTGAGACATTCACTTCCATAAATCAGTGTTCTCCAACCTTGAAAGAGCCAAGGTATGCATTTCACATTAGAAAGATTTCTTCAGTAATTTGTTTAAAACTGTCATAATATTTCTCCTCCTAAGTAGTATAAGGTACAGTCAAAAGACGACAGTGTGCCTTTTAATCCGTTGCACCTTATATATGGATCAATATTCTAATTTCTTGGACGTAGAATTTTAAATGTTCTGTAGAGCGCTTTGTTTCATCTGTAGCGGTTGTGAAAGTTCCGACAGAAATAAAGCTGTATTGTATTGTATTGTCTTTAGTGTATCTCCATCTAGTGAAACGACATGTAAACATGGACTGCACACTTAGCACTGAACTTATCTCAACACAATTTAAATAGATAAATAAAATATGAATACAGCCTACTGACCGCACGGGTGCAGAGGTTTCTTGTTTTTTCCCCAGGGTGCAGTTTTTGTGAAAATTGCCTTCTACTACATTGTGATGACAATTTGAATCCGATTTATTGTTCAGCTCTGCACAGCAGTATGTGTGACATGTCAAAATCACATCCATCCAATGGGGGAAAAAATACATAAAATAAGGGAGAGATATTTTAACAAACCTATCATTGCACTGGTATGATTACGAATATTTATCCTCAGACCTCAGAGTTTCATTCTTGTGCTACATTTCAATGGTGACAGTGATTCTGATGAAGACATCTTATGCTCATTTATTATTCTTGTGTGCTGCTTGCTGTAAAACTGGCATTTCCCCATTGTCAGACTAGTCAAGGCATATTCCATTGGAATCTGGTGTAAGAAATAATTGGTCACATTCTCTTAGGGAAATATTGCCCTCACGTATGCTTAATGTGTTTCTCATTCACTTTCATAGACACCGTGTGGTACCGCAGTGTATTTCCTTCCACTATATCGATTGACACGATATCATCTTCAAACGAGAATGAAAGGAGGAGGTGGAGCTGGATGGCGTTGATGGGCTAAAGCTTTATCAGAGCCCTCCATCTGAGCATCCATGTGACCAATGTGTGCTCAGTGTGCTGTCGTCTATCTCTTGGCATGGAAAAGATCTTCGGAGAGCCTCTCGGTACACAAGCGCTTTCCCGAGACCTTGTCGTCGTAACTCACACCTCTCATACGCACACAAAAATGCCTTTTGTTCTTCCTTTGCTGTTTTCGGGGAGATAATTTAATGTCACCTTGTGCTCTTTTTACCCAAGGAATACATTAGAATGTCTCCCGATTCACACCGGTAGAGGCGCAACGCTATCAGCTGCAGACGCAGGGGCAAACATCAAAAGCATGTTTACATGCTCGAGTCGTCACACGAACCTCGATTGCTTTCTGACATTTACTATGAAGAGAGTAATTATAAAAGGAAAAAAATAAAACGAGGGCCGTGCATTTTGTTTCGCCGCCATAGAGACAATGGGAACAGACAGGCAAACTAACATGATTCTACGTGAACTCCCGCAATAAGAAATTAACCCCCCTTGTGGGAAGAAAAAGAAAAAAAAACATCGTCAGACTAATCGTGTGATGCAATCAGCCGACTGTTTGATTCTGCTCTGCTGCCAGGCTCGTCGGTTCAGGACAAAAGCGAGTTAATGAGTCAAAACAGAGGAAATGTCAGCAGATAAAGCAGGGAATAACGTCAAACTTCTATACGACAATCCAGATGACGTGCTTTTAATGTCACTGATTCATGGTTTGGAGATCAGGGCGATTTACATATGAATATTAATATAATATGAATCACAAATTTTCAGGTGAGTTCTAATGTGCCTGTTGAGCGTATTGTCCCACAAAGTTTGAATTTTGGAAATTGAATGGATCAAGTAATTACCATTATATAAACATGCTTCTTATTAGGGCCGGGCAATTAATTTAAATGTACCGTATTTTCCGTACTTCTATAATTGCGACAATGGTGGAAGTAAAAATTTGATTGTGGTGATGTAAAGAAAAGTATGAAGTCTTCATTGAAGGTCCAAGGTGTCACATGCACAGCCCGCCACTGCATTTTGATGATTTTATACATGAAAGCAAATGTGCCGTGCAGCGTTTGAAGTTTTGTGAAAACCAAAATGGTTTGTTTCATTCCGAGATATGAAAGTCAAACATTTCTGGCAGTGCAAAGCAAGGTTACCCTTGGCTCCCAATCTGCTGGTCACAGAGAAAGCAACTGTAAATAAATCCTCCACAGCCCCAAGCAAGGTTGGTGACGTTCCAGCATCCTTCTTAGCCTAGGCTCATCTCCAATGCCAAAAAACACATAAATAACACGGCCTTGATTAGCAATCCCATCAAAGTAAAAACGGCCCACTTTGTGCAACATGGAGGACTTTGGCGATTGGAGTAAACATTTTCAATTGCCTCGGCATGCCGCTCATGATTGGGTGCAAATTAGGAGAGACAGTCATTAATCCTGGATGGTGGGTGGTGGTCGTGGTGGTGTTCGTGGTGGTGCGAGTGGGCGGGGTTGTGATTTGGGCACAGATGACTGGCTGATAAATGCACACTCATTCCAGCAGCTGTCTGGAAGAGTAAAGTGTCTGTATCTCTACACATGGCTGCCTGCCTCTTGCCGCATCACAACATACTGAGCGAGTCCGATGCACAGCCAAAGAGGACGCGCGATCGAGGGGGCTCTGGCACTCAAACGTCAAAAGAGAGCTAAAACCAAGTGATTTCAGAAAAAGTGACGACAATTCGATGTTCAGGCCCGATTGGCGCTGCTCATATTTGCATCAGCCACCTGTTCATCTGATGAGTGATTGAATCCAATGAAAAATGTGTGGCAAAACATACATTTTGGTTGGAAGGTGCCGTTTCCAGCAGCCGTCTCCAAATGCGGTCCTCCTGACTGGTAAACCCGATCGCCGTCAACACGGAACTGGCTATACTCGACAGCTGGATGGTACGAAACTATAGTTTAGAGCTACAATGATGAATCCACTAATTGAATTTCAATTTCATCAATAAACATTTTTGATAATTGATGAATCATTCCGATACTTTTTTTTTCCATTTAAAATTGTCCAAATACTCCAAATTTCAGCTCTAAATATTAGTTTCTGTCGTCATCCATGAAAGTGGACTGATTATCTTTGTGGTAAATGAAAAACATCGGCTTTTAGGTTGGCAAAAACAAACAAAAAAAAAAGCATATTTTTTTCAATCATAATTCATTTGTTTGTACATTTTCTGCATTGTCAATTTGAAATGTGCTGTTTTTGAATAAAGGGGTGGAAATGAAAAACATTTATTTGAAGCTGATTCATCGATTAATCAACAAAATAAACAACAGATTAATCGATTCTTAAAATAATCAGTAGTTGCAGCGCTACGATGGTTTGTAGCAAGGACATTTGTAGCAAAATATGTTGGTTCGGCACGAAACATGAAACGAGGTTGGCTCAATGATCCCATTGACCGTGTCTGCAAACGCATGCTTATCCTTGGTCAGCGAAACTAAACCACACCAATTTTAGCAAAAGTTAAGAAGATGCAAGGTTCAGGCACCTCACATTTGGCGCTGCTTTGATTCGTTCTTTGTTGTTGTATTTTTCAACATCAAAAGCAGCACGGGCCAGCGTCCAATTGTCTTGAGTCAGCGCGTACGGCAGCAACAAGCGGCACGACAGCACCTCATTAACAATAAAACTTTTCTGTCTCTGATGCTCCCTCTTTCTCCCCGCTGTGTCTCTTTCTACCGCTCAGTCATTAGAGCCTGATCCTCAGGATGAAATGCTCCTTCACAGGCAAACAGGGATTTAAGTCTTATAGGGTAAACTGTAATTAAAACTTTTGCAACTTTTGCACGGGGAGGTTTCAGAAAGTGTCTGACTGACTAATTTGACCAACTTGATTCCCTATGTGTAAAACTCTTGTTAAATGATTGGCTAACACAAAAAGGACTGGAATTTTTTTTTTTTTCGAGTTGAAAGGAGCAGCTCACATCATCATGAAGCAAATATAAATATCACACATGAAAAGTTCATTTCTGAAAGTCTGCACAAAGCATCAATTATAAATTCAAGGGGAAGGCACAAACTTGAAATCAATAGCAACGATAAAATTCCTTGGACTGTGAGCAACTACATCCCAATCATGGTGATGCTACACTGGCCCGTAATGAGGAAAACCTTTACTGAATGGTAAAGCCATGACAACGGAGTGTCACCAGCTTGGTGTACAATAATCAGTGGTCCCATTTGGACAGTCTCGTATTGTGGCACATGTGGCCAAAATTGGTGGTGGCACTCCTCTGTCCATGAAAGAAAACTCACAGCATTGTGTGTTAGCATGCGCGGGTTTACCAAGTTTTGTAGCTGTTAAGCGTCAGCGTATATCTAATTGGCTCCAGGCCAACTGCACCGGTGGTGAGAATCAACTGCAAACTCATTAAAAAAGACTGAGTGCTTTTGTGACTTTATTGACTTTGTAAGGAGCTAAAAAATATATAATTCTCAGAACAACAAACGAATGGGGCAACCAATTAACCTTGTAAAGACAAAGAAATGTTGACTGATAGAATCAAAAATGAAAGCAACACCATCGATCTACACCGTGCGTCTCTCTCCTCCTTTCTCAAGAAAAAAGGTCCAATGTTAATAAGCAGAGATGAGCAGACAATCACGTACAACGGAGAAGAGGCGAGAAAACAGGCAAAGTAGTACCTGTGAAGGTTTCAGCAGCTCCTGATGCAGCAGGCCAGGAAGAAAAGAAGAGAGACGAGAGTTTGTGAGAAGCAAGAAAGCAAGCAGAAAAATATACTGCATGGAACATTTTAGAGATCAAATCATTTACAATACAAATCGTGTAGTTTCCCCAAACTTAAAACAAACATAAGGCATCGTAATGAGTGAAAAAGAGAGATTTTACACGCCTGGCCCCCACCCCCTGGGACACGTGTATATGCTGAAGAAGGGTGGGCACCCACTCGGATCAATGCCCACCCAGCCTGGCACCTCGTACACAGCAGCGGAGGTGGGCATGCTCCCAAGTGCCCGCAGCAGAGCTCAGGGGGAATTGCTAGTATAACCTCCAGAGAGATGATGTCATTCTTTGTCTGCTAGGCAGCAACACACACTCACACACAACAATGTTTTATCCATCCATCCATTTTCTGATCCGCTTATCCTGACAAGGGTCACGGGGCGTGCTCGAGCCTAGCCCAGCTGTCTTCGGGCAGTAGGCGGGATACGTCCTGAACTGGTTCCCAGCGAACTGCAGGGCACCCATCGAAAAACAACCATTCACACTCACAATGGCACTTGCCGACAATTTATAGTGTTCCATTAACCTCCCGTGCATGTTTTTGGAATGTGGGAGGAAAACGGAGTACCCAAAGAAAACCCACGGAAACTGAGGAGAACATGCAAACTCCACACAGGGAGGCCGGAGCTAAAATAGTCGTTATAGTAGCAATGGTAGTATTAAAATAATACATTTCTAGTGAAGCACTGCTCTGTATGAAATATAAAAGAACTGAAACACCACTCCATATACAGTACTGTACCCTCTTCCACCCCTCTGCACGCTCATCCACCCGACTATCTCCATGCATATCTGATGTGTATGCCACCCAGCCTCCCCTCTCTCAACATGTTGTAGCAGTGCAATTCACACAGACAAGTGAGCTTGGATGGAGCAAGAGACGCGTCCGTGCAGCAAAAATGTTGAGCAGACGGCTTGTCTCACTTGTCATTGGCGGCGTAATAAGGGTGTAAGGTGTGACACATGTCCTTGTTCCACGTCTTTGTGCATTGGCAGCGTGTCAGCAATTCCCCCCCGTGTTGGGGAAGGAGGTGTATGTGTGTGTGTGTGTGTGTAGGGGGGGGGGCTACATAGAGTCAAGACTGACAAATCACACATGATGGTCACAAAACAAAGTGTGAGTAGACGCTGTGCAGGATGCTCCGACATTTTCAGTGTCAGTCAAAACTTTATCCCGATTGTGGGAGGCTTCAACAGAGGGAGCTTTTGCTCAAATTAGCCTGTTCGCTGCTGCTCTGGGGCAACTACATACTTGTTTGAGCCCTGAGCCTAAATGACAACACTTGTGGAGTCAGAACGACGTCAGCAAAACGCCAAATTACACCTGTCACTCAGTGTGAGTTGATCCTAGTATGTGATGCATGCAGCAGATAAATTGCCAAAGACCGATTTCTAATTTTGAATCAACAAAAAAATAGCCTGATCATAACAGAACGCACAAAATAGTCTCAAGGACCACTACTCATGAAAATCTGTGAGGAATTGAGAGAACCCACAGAGGATTAGCTTTGCCGATAGAAACCCAAAGACGCCACGAACAGCCCTGCATGAAGCTCCTCAACTCACCTCAACAGAGTTCCTTGAAACCAAGATGTCACAAGGAGGTGGCAAAGCACTACATGAAGCGCCTCAACTCACTTCAACATAGTTCCTTGGCATCAAGATTAAACAAGACTTGGCATAACACAACATAAAGCTACTCAACTCACTTCAACATAGTTCCTTAAACCCAAGATACTAAAAAGTGGCAGCAAAGAACTACATGAAGCCCCTCTTCTCACTTCAATGAAGTGGCTTGGCATCAAAATGCCAGCACAGTACTACATGAAGCGCCTCAACTCACTTCAACATAGTTCCTGGACATCAAGATGCTACAAGACGTGGCAAAGTAAATTAAAAGTAAATTAAGAATTTCCTCAACTTACTCCGTGATGTTTATTTATTTATTTATTTATTTATTTTTTTGAGGCAGATGCAGATTTTGATATTTGGCACAATGCTATTAAAATGACCATTTGAAAGTATCTGATGAATAAAATAACTTATTATTAGGTCCCTAAATACTACAACTATAAATATATGAATTACAGACAGAATATTTAACTGTTTTACAATACTCTGTCCTTTCATATATGTTTGTATTTGGGGGTCAGAATGTCATTATCTTTGTCTTATGTTGATGTTATTGTGTAAAAAAACAAACAATAAAACATCTGTATTTAAAAAAAAAAAAAAAAAGGTTAAAAGCTAATTGTGTCCAATTGCATCGACTGGCCGGGTCCTTGTAATTTCTCTTAATGTATCTGATGATCGTTCATCAGTCCAACGGTACGCCTCCAACCTCAGCTTAGGTAGTTTAAGGCAAGGCAGCCAAAGTGGCAGCAAGGAAATGAAACATTCGACTCCAGTCACTTTGTGAGGTTATATACACGGACACAGTTGAGTTTGATGAGACTTAAAACCCAAACAGACTTGTGATATAGTCTGGCGACACCTTCCCTCGCCATCAGAGCGATCCACTTCCTGTCAGCTGCCGCCATCCAGACTATTAATAGCGCCTAGGCGGCGGCCTGTCTCCCCCCTGCGTTACCTGCAGCGCATTAGCCACAAGTTATGAGGCGCCGGCTGGCCTGTGATTAGATGTCATGGCTGTCGCTCTGCTTAGACAAGTGCTGATGGACAGATTTCGGGGAGGGAAAATGCCTCGGCAAGAGTGCAGCCGATACACCCATCTGTCAATCACGCCGGATGAGAGCGGACAGGCCAAGCGTCCTCCCAATGTCTGTCCTTGTCTCCTCACCTCGTTTTCATCCACAGCTACAACACCCTCTCTCTTTCTGTTCTGTGGCTTTTTGTTCAAGGAGACGATGGCAGGCATTCCTGCGAGTGGTGGATGTGAGAGGCATTTGCATTTTTTTTCTCCTTTTAACGGGGGAGCGTCCTCCTCAACATTAGCATAACCCCCCATCTAAGTACGACCTCAAGTATGCACCTTTTCACACTTTTTCATACTCTTTCTGTCATGGTTGTGCTCTCCGACCTGTTGTCGATTTGCTTTTGTTTTATTTTCAGTGCCCGAGTGAGTGGGGTGGGCGTTCTTTCCCACGCTGCACCTGTGGCGCATTGTAATCACTGGACTTTAAACGGACGTTGGCAACGGCATGCCGTTGTCGGATTATTCTACCTTGCTCACTGCTGTGGTCCCAAGTATGAGATTTTCGTCCAAGTAATGTTTCATAGCTCTCTAGTTCATCGTGTTTTATCTCGTTCGTAAATATTGATTCGCGTCCAACATGAAATCAACGTGTGATCAATGAAATGAAAGTGCAAAAACTCAGTACATTCTTTCCCCCCCAAAAATTTACTCAGAATGTTAATATTTTTGAGGTACTATCATGTCGATCTTGCATATCATTTCAAATCTGTCAAAAATTAATACGCCTATTCACGTTGTAATATTCGTTGTAATATATGTATAAGACCCAGTGCAAGTGCAACTAAGACATGTCTGCCATCGAGTGATGATTGGTAATATTACAATTTAAAACTACAGTTGGCACCTGCATATTCTAAGTTCAGCACCCAAGCATTTCATTTTTTTCCCTTTTTTATGAGGGGCAACTCAGAGTGTGGTTTGAAGACAACTATAGCTGGTTACCTTTTTTTTTTTTTTTTTTTTAAATAAACCATAACCTGCATATCAGGTTTTAGCCAATCAGAAAGCTCAAATCGCAACAACAACGGCAAACAAAGGGCAAGAAGGACTTTTTGTTCCTGTCACTTCGAAATATCACATTTGAACTCCAACATTTAACCAATCAGATCCCTGAGGAAAGTTACTCGCTGGAAAGGAAAGAAGGAAGAAGCGGATTCCTTTTTCTATCGCGCTTAACCTCCTGAAGCTCTAGTCAAATCAAATGTATTCATATCGAACTTGAAAAGAGAAAAAAAGCCTCAATGTCTCAGTCACAGGGCACACAAACATCATTCATTCTCCCATTCATACCGATCGACGATTTCAAGTCTTCAATGAACCTAACTTGCATGCAGAGAAGAACTGCACCAAATGTGGGAAGAAAATGGCTGGAGTTGAGATTTGCATCCAGAAGATGAGAACGGTGATGCATATGTGCTAACGGCTATGTTTTGTAACATGTTTGTGCCGGTTTGTGTGCGACATGTAGCAGCCCCCCTACCACCGCCGCTATCACCACCCACCACCGCCACCCGCCATCATGTCTCTCTGCTTGTGCTATTCAGTCGGAACACTAATGAGCCAACATGTCTTTCCAGCGCCGGTGCGACGCATTTGAATTTAATGTTCTTCCTCGCAGGTAAAACATCGCCTCGTTTCTGCTTGAGATGCCGCAGCTCTTACGTGAGTGTGTGTGTGTGTGTGTGTGCGCGCGCTTTGAATGCAGCCACACAGTGTGCTGCCCATTGTGTCGTCATTTAATTAGAGGGATTAGACGTTTTCCTCTCCATGGAAATAAGATGAAGTGGACTCTTGACCAATGAAGAAGTTTCGACTTCCAAAAATATAACACAAAAATGTGCGCGCGCGCGCGCACACACACACACACACACACACACACACACACACACACACACACACACACACACACACACCTTATACATTGTGTATCAGGCCAAGGCATGTGATTCCAACTAAAATAAGTCAAATATTATCCGGATGTGTTGTTGACTTATTATTATTACTGTTGCCGCTGCCGCATTTATTTTTGCCCAGCCTTCAACCACAGCATCCAGTTCATGGTCCATCTCCATGACAACCTAGCGGAGCAGAAATGATAATCAATCTGTCAGTCTTCAGGGATGCAACCCTTTGATTATTAGAAATGCGAAAAACTGCAAATGCGCCTTGGATTCATTTCCTCCGCAGCTTTATTCCACCAATCACTTTGTTATGTACACCTGCACAATCAAATGAGATTCCATGCGAGAGCTGGGTAAAAAAAAAAAAAACAAAATGCCTTTACGAAGGTAATAATGCTCAGTTTTGATTGACACCGTCAGAGAGGGATTCATTTCACAATGACTGGTCAGTGTCGAGCTGCAGCGAATCAGATTGAGAGCTGTTTCTAATATCTTTTTTTTCCCCCCCCTGGGACCTTACAGGACTGTGATTGGCTGTCAACCAGTCCAGAGTATACACTTCGTCTACTGCCCCATCGGATAAGTTCCTATGAGGCAATATTTCATCCATTTAACTCTTTCATATCAATAGCAAAAGGCCAAATTTGGGTCCAAGCTTCGGTCCAAAACATGCACGGCGTTACATTGGGGCTAGAGTGTGCTACGGCCACATCAGAAATCTGCCGAGCCCCTGTTCATCCACTATCTATCTATCTATCTATCTACCTATCTACCTATCTACCTACCTACCTACCTACCTACCTACCTACCTACCTACTTACTTACTTACTTACTTACTTACTTACTTACATTTAAAGACATGAAAAAGTTAACAAATAGCCAGTCTGTCCCAATACAATTGCTATTGCCATGTCTGTGCTGCAGCCATGGGGTTCCTCAGGGGTCTGTGCTTGGTCCAAAACTATTCATCATATAAATGATATCTGCATGTCTCAAAACAATTTAAATGTGTCTTATTCGCCGATGATACAACTTTCTACTGCTCTGGAGAAAATCAGAAACAACTCTAGATAACTGTGGAAAATGAAGTAAACAAATTTAAAACACTGGTTCGACAGAAATAAATTGTCACTTAACTTGATAAAAATCTAAGTTAATTGTTTTTGGCACGAGCGCAATCAAACACTGATGGTAAACTCAAGTGAAATGGAAAGAGTGTATGAAAATAAATTTCTTGGATGAGTAATGGATTCGAAACTATGTTGGAAGCCACATATAGACAACTTTAAAAGATAAATATCCAAAACCATTGAAATCCTCTACAAAACCAAGGATGTGTTGAAGAAGAGATCTTTGTACACATTATACTGTAGATTATTATGATCATATTTGACCTACTGTGTGGAAATATGGGGAAACGCATGTGAAACAAACATACTCCGTTTTAAAAACTACAAAAAAAAAAGCAATCAGAATTATGAATAGATCAAAATATACAGAACCCACGAATCCACTATTTATCAAATTAAACACGATGAAATTTTATGACCTGTTGACTTCAAAATAGCCCATTTAATGTACAAAGCACACAATAACCTGCTCTGCCAAAACATCCTTAAGTTTTTTGAAATTCGAGAGAGTTGCTATGATTTAAGGGATATCCGGCCTCTACAAAAAATAGAAAACAAGAACAAACATCAAGCAAAGAAGTGTATCTGTAATAAGTGTTGATCTGTGGAATAATTTTGAAACTGACCTGAAAATGAGTGACTCGCTTGACATATAAATGTGTATGTATGTAGTCACTATACAAACCAAAAGTTGTAAGAATTGCTAAGTATAGCACACATAAAAGCATTTGTTTATATGCAGACATTTTCCTTTTCTTTTCTGATTGAAAAAATGATCTATTGATTATTGAACACATAAGGGGTAGGATTACATACGTTTTTCACTCTTCTCCTTTGAACATATAATTGTGCTGTTTGACGACTGTTTTCTTTTCCTTTTTTTTACAATTGTACTTACCTTTACTTTCTGTCAATTGTATTACTGTACATGTTTATATGTTAAATAAACAATAAAACAAACAAACACACATATTGTGGTGGATATACACGTCTCAAGTAGTTGAAGTCATAAAAATCTATTTTATTTCTCACCCCACCCCTCCCAGCATGTTGGGCAAGCCCCCCACCCTCACCTTCACCCCGAGAGAGAAAAATCTTGTCGCTGTGCCAGGATCTAAACTGCGTAAATATTGCAATAACGATGGTATCTACTGTACTGTACATAGACTTAATGATTGAAAAAAATGCATGGGTTTATAAGAAAGAAACATCAAATCCCTTTGCAAATAAATATTGTGTTGTACTTGATGATCAATAAAAGAGAGTAGCTGCTAATCCCCACCCCCAAAAAAGAACTGTCCTTTAAATAGCTAAAACGTGAATGGAGTATGGCTCCTATGGCTGGTGAAATTCATGTGTAGGGTATTACTTTGGGCAATGTATGATGATTATTATAATTTTTTTTTTTTTTTTATACAACTGAACTCAAAAAATTCTTCCCTCGGCTTCTTTTGTATGATAAACCATTTTGCCAGCATTCTGACTCCGGTATAATCACCAGTGAGAACATACTGCTGTGTTCTCTCCAGAGTGGATGTAAACGTACATACTCAAGTAATCAGGCGGATTTACAGGAGCTGCAAACACGCGTTGTAGACATCCAGTCTATGACCTTCTGTTATGCCTCACTGCAAAGAGTGGAGGGCTGAAGGACATTCCTTCAAAAACATTCTGTGTGTTTACATGTAGGCCTCCCACAGCGTTTGGTAAACCGGCATAATAATGAGATCCAATACAAAAACGGCACTGACCGAGAGAATGACAAAGTTAATGACAGACCAAAGAGATTGGCTGGCTGTCCGACAGACCAATAAAAAGACGTGTTTAGGGCCAGAAAATTATTAAGGAGACCTGCGCAATCTGATGAGCGTCAACACAATAAATACACTATCAGACTGACACAGAGCAGCTGCCAACGTATTGAAATTCACTTCCGGAACAATTTATCGGGCTTTTCATATATTATTATTATTATTATTATTATTATTCAAGGTAGCAGTGCACACCAAACGTGTTACTGCCACTCGCCATTTTCATGTGAAGAAATGTTTTCAAGGACCAAAATAAAAAACGAATGATAAAAAATATTACTCACCCTAAGCTAGGCGTCAATGGTGGTAAACTTTAACGACACAGAGCAGTGCGGCCTTTGTTATTTATGATGAATATAAGTATTCGTTTGTGCACAGTTGTTGTCTGCGCATAATTGGACATAATAATCTGGCGATGAAGCTTTCCTTTGTCTGCCCTTGTTCTTCGACACTGATATGCATAGCAGCGATCGGAGTGGGACTCACGTCGTTAGCTTTCGGCTAATGTTGGACTCATCCGCTAGCTTCCATTACCCATGAGTGAGCAGTGACGCAATATGTCTGCGGAGCCAGCGGCAGCAGAACGCCTGTGGCATGTTGTCATACATAAATCGCATTTTTTTTTTTTTTTTTGCTCGTATTCAACCTGCGATACATACATACATTTTTTAAAAAATATCCGGAACGTTCAACGTTACGGGCGGAGCATAAGTGTTTTGTTTTGATCGCCGCTGTCAAGAGGGATTCACCTTCAAACGATTGTGGTTGCATTGCCTCGTTAACCGCACCCCCCCCCCCACCTAAAAAAGACACCAAAGTGAAAACACAGACTGATCTGAACATAATGAGATAAAAGTTTTCTTGCAGACAGAATGTTTTGCAATAAACATTCATAGGAAGCCGACTGAATTATAGCAACGCACTGTTAAGAGTGCTGATTGTGACAAATGCCGTGACTTCACAGCTCCATAAATCAGAGAGCAAGCGGACGAGCGCATTTCCCCTACGAGGTGCAACGATTTCTTCTTGCCGCCGGCCGCTCTCTTGTGTTAACAAGAACGGCTGACTGAGCGCCGTTTTAAGAGCTGTTGCTGCCCGCCACACTGCGCTGGAGTGACTCATCACATTTGATTCACGTCGTCTATTCCGGGCCACGCTTCCATCACTTGCAAATTCACCTTGCAAAGGTTTCTTTCCTGCCACAGTCTGTTCTTTTTTTTTAAGGCAAGTAGCGACGGGAATGTTTGCAACTGCACGGAAGGAAGTCAGTTTAAAGTAGAGAAGAGAGTGACTCGAGCGCAGACCTCCTCTACATTTTTAAAACATTCTCCACCAAAATTGACCAATCGTTAGACCTGCTCCCTTCACAGAGAGTAATTTGAGAAGTACCAGTAACAGCATACGCGCTATAAAACCCTGGGTTGTTTTCCGAACTCACTCGCTTTAGATTTTGAGCAAATCGAGAGCATTTAAGCGTGGAACACTTCAGTCGTGCATGTATGTGTGTGTGAGTGCGTGTGCGTGTGAGAGAGAAAGTTATTTGTGAATGTGACAATGTTTCATCAGTGAGTGTGAGAGTGTTTCAGTTGTATTTCATGAATATGACAGCATTTTAGTCGTCAAAAAGTGTGTGAAAGTGGTTCAGATATTATTGTGAGATGGTTTCATTAGCAAATGTGGGAGTATTTTAGGACGAGTTAGCGCCTAAAAATGTTGGTGTGAGTGTTTCATTAGGGGGTGAGAAGGTTTCAAATGTATGAAAATTTCAGTAGGGACCGAATTGCCTTGTCAAACAACATGACTTTTTTGTTGTTCAAGACGACGGTCGCACTGTCAGACAGCCGGATAACTGTCGTTCTGTGCCTCGTACCGGGCAAGATGTCACACGACAAGTCTGTCACTGGACAGCCGCTGCCCAGTCGTTGCATGCTTCCGTCAAGATTCAGTCTATTGGCGCGTGAATATGAATGATAAATGAATGAATGAGAATCCCACAAAAGAACCCCTAAATTGGTCTGTTTTGTTTTTGTTTTTTCATTTAAGATAAGATAAGATAACCTTTATTCGTCCCACACTGGAGAAATTTGCAGTCTACAGCAGCAAGACTGGGGGGTGGTGGGGGGGATAAAGTGTTTCATTGCACAAAATAAATGTTTCAGTAAAGAACTTGACCCAACATTTTGATTATAATAAATGACCCAAAAAGTTGGGTCGGTCTCTTTTTGATCCAACTGTTTTAGAATGTACGTGAGCAAAAAAATAATAAATAAAAAAACAGTCGCGTGGTTTGATAGCATTTCAGCGGGTGTCTGCGTGTGTTTGGAACGTGAGTGTGAGAACACTTCACTTGTGCGAGTGTGAGCATCTTCTAGTGGGTGCGACAAATCAGCCGCAAAACAGCTTTAAAGAGAATATTCATTTTGCTATTGTGAGGATCTTTTGAGGGAGAACTCACAGAAGCTTCAAGCTTGTCTGCCAACATATCTGCTTACTCACGAAGAACACAGAGATATGGTTACAAAAAGAGAGAGAGAGAGAGAGAGAGAGAGAGAGAGAGAGAGAGAGAGAGAGAGAGAGAGAGAGGCATGGCGCGGTAATTAGGACATTAGAAGAAGCGTGTGACAGTGCCTGTCATCGCCGCAGCCGGCCCGGTGGAAAGGAGGCCGGTCAAAGGGGCTAAATGAAAGAGGAGGGGTCCAAACAGCGGGTTCAAGAGACAGCTGCTGCACGGCCTCTCGCTGTCTGGAAGCACTCGGAGAATATTAAACCAGCGGGGCTTTGGCCAAGACTCATTTATGAGATGCAACAAAGCCCCCCCCCCCCCCTTCTATGAGCAGGTAGCGGCTAATTTATGCCACACTTGCGTTTTACAAATTGTCCTCATTTTCAGCCACCAAAGAGACTCTATTATTACACTACCAGCAGCACTGGGCCGGTTAACTACCAAAATGTACGATATGTAAGGGTTGGGGCAATATATCTACACTGCCCTTCAAACGTATTGGAACAGAACAGTGAGGCATATTCATTTGTTGTTGCCAAAAACTGAAAACATTTAGGTGACTGTTTCTTGTTCAATGTAAACAATGTGCGTTTTTATGATTAAATCTTGCACTGACATGAGGAAGCAGCACGTGACTCATGTTGCGAGATTTTTTAAATTTTTTTCTCAAACACACGTATTCGAATTAGGTAAAAAATTGGATATTTGTGATCACAAGTCCACGAAATGTTTAGCGCATGTGTACGCCGCCGCCTTCTTGATCGATTTCGCTAAACAATTAGACACATCAACTGGTCATCTTGGTGTATTTGTCCTAGCAGGCAATGCTCCACAGTCTCCATTGTTGTTGCTTCGTTCCTTGTTTCACGAAGTAAAAACAGCGACCGGAATTGGACATAGAATGTGGAGGAAGCTCCACGTGTCCGAGCCAATGTCAACCAGAGCAACACCCCCTAACTTGGAGTGAAACCGCAAACTGCAGAGCATTTTCAAAGCAAGATGCGCGGGAGTGTAAAGGCAAACGCCACGTGGCAGCGCCGCAGTGATGTCCTCGTGGTCGTCGCCAGCGAGACTCGAAAGAAGCCTGAACGGATCTCTGTAAAGGGCGGCCTATTTGGATTTGAGATCAGCAAAGCTTTTGAGTAGAAGATCGTGAGGTGGTGAATTTTGGCTTGTAATGTCGATTATGAATGAGAAAAATGCTAACACATTGCAGCTGACACTTAAACAGAGTATGTATATCTATGATACAAACAGAGTATTGGTTGCAGTAGGGAGTCGAAAGCGTGTGTTGTGATCGTGAGGAAAGTTGAAGCCAGGTTGAAGACATTAAAAGTCCCGCTGAAGAGTCTTACGTGTCATAAATGCAAAGGCTTGATGAGTTTTATTAAAATGCTTGTTTTTTCTGCTTTTAGGTCAGAAATCAGTTTCTACTGCTGATTAGTAAAAAAAAAACAAACTTTTTTTTTAAAGTTTTTTTTTCTGGTGAAAGAAGAGAGTCTCCTCTTTATTTTACAGGTTCAGTGCATATTTTGTGACAGACTAAAATATTGTGAGTAGTCAAAATGCTCGAAAGATGGCTGACAATATGGGGAACTCTTTCTATGCTTTCAAAACAAGTGTCAGTGAATGCATTCATTACTTACTATATTTTAGAGACAAGGTGAAGCAGCATGTAGCTCATGATCCAACGTTATTTTTGAATGCCCTGATCCAACTCACTGTCAACAATTCTCTGTTTCGGATCACAAATATTAGAACATGCATATGTGCTACATTTGGTGCATCTGTGCTGAAGAACTCAATCTTTCCTGCAAGAGATCAACTAAAAGGACGTCTCTTGGTGTCGACATGATCCCAAATCATTTGCAATGCCTGAATTACCGCAAAAATGTTTCATTCATTTCCTGTCAACACTAACTGCAAGACATCATATGCACACGGTTAATTGTAAGGATGGGTTCATAACACGATGACACAAACTCACCTCCTCCTCCATCCAACACCTGTGCACGTTCTCTGGCCCGCCTCTGCTCATACGCTTATAATCACCTCTATCAGCCCAAAATGCATCCGGGGACGCTAACCGCGTCCATTTGTTTGCGCTCATAATGTCTTTTTGTGTGCCTCAATCAGGCACCTGTGCGACACACACCTGCTGCCTCGCCGCTGCCAAAGACGAGAAGCGAGATGGAGGGGAAGCCTTTTGTTTCCCCGCCCGGTTTATAATCAGCGCATTGTTTCCAATCTTCCCACACCATTTTTCAATTTCCCATTTCCCCTTTTCTCAGTCAAATCGCTGCTATCAATCAGGTGTGCGTTGGAGAGCCCGCAGAGCGTGTGGGAGAGGAGGGAAACACAGTGGTGGTGGCGTGTTGACTTCCTTGATGGAACCATCTCCAGCCTCAGGCCTCATTAGTCAGACTGCGAGAGGGAAAAAGTGTGCGTGAATGTTAGCATGTCTGTATGAGGAGGGCTGTCAGGGAGATCATTTACCTCTCGAGAAACACACAACTGAAACATTCTCACACACAAATCAAACATAAATACTGTACCACTATATTCCATGAAACTATTTCAGAATTTGTTTAGGAGCGTTTCAACTAGTGTGCATGAGAGTGTTTCACTTGTGTGTACTGGAGTGTTTCAATCGGGTGTGAGATTTCAGTTGTGTGAGTGAAAGTGTTTTTAAGAGTGTCTAAGTGTCGCAGTGCACGCGTGAGTGTATGTGTGAAAAAAAATTAGTAGTTTGTGCGAGTCAGGATTCAATTGTGAGTGTGAGAGCGAAAAACAAAGTGTGAGTGATAAAGGACTAAGTGAAAAAAAATCTGCATCGTGTGAAGGTATCGATTTTGAGGGTGACAGTGTAGTCGATTGTGTGAGAGTATTTTAACAGTGTATGAGCAGTTGTGTGTGTGTGTGTGTGTGTGTGTGTGTGTGTGTGTGTGTGTGTGTGTGTGTGTGTATGTATGTATGTATGTATGTGTGTGTGTGTGTGTGAGTGCGTACGC